TAGCTAGCAAAAATTTGTTTATTTTATCATTTTCAAAATATGATATTCATGTTCTTTGATAGGAGATTTTTAACAGTTCTTTAATTTGGATAATGAATGTTAAATCGCAATTTCCCAAGAGTTAAAATCAGAAACGGATTTTCTAAAAACACAACAAGAAATTATCACAATTGGTGAAAACATTTCCTTAAAGTTGAACTCGTAGAGAATCCGATCAAATTTATAAACTGAAAAAAAAAAAAAAAAAAAAAAAAAAAAAAAAAAAAAAGACAACAACGCTATTGTTATAATTTCTAATAGCAAAATGTCTTTCGTGATGGCTAGAGAAAAGTTTTTTAAACATTTTAACAAAGCCTGTGGTACAAATTCTGTATTAAATGGCAACTGGTTTCAAATAATTGAGTTCATAATAAAGAAAAGAATCTGAAGAGCAAAGCTTGAGAACATGATATTCGACAGAATAAAAGGAAGCCATTTTTGTTGTTTTCCTGAATAGAATAACATGATTTCATGGGAGGAGAGTAAATAGAAAAGGTTTAAGATAAGCAGTACTGCTGAAATCAGATTTTTTTTTTTTTTTTTTTTGAATGAAGAAAGGAAGGGAGTTGTCTAATTCAGTTTCAAAAGTTAGCTCGAGGTATCGAATTCATAACAGATAAAATTTCAGTCCACTCTTCATTGACCGATAAAAGCGCGTGTCATCATGAAGGGAAAAGAATGATTTTCAAATAATTTGATCTTAATTACATGTAAATGTAAACAAGTACTGCAGAGAGAGGGATTACTCGCAGTTAATCCTTCACTTTGATGGTAATAATTATTTTGGGAAATGAAATTGTAGTGTTTAGGTGGGTTAACTTCTATCTGGATACAGAAGTAGCAGGAAACTACACAGAAGAAAGGTTCAAACCCTTTATTAACTCTTTAAAATTTACACTGCGTCAACTCAACGCTAACAAACTTCGCCTCTACTTGGGCCGTAACTGAACAGCAGGTAACTGAAAATCAAAAGGTGAAATGTTTACTAAGTACTAAACTAACCTACAGGGCTCAGCGAGATACCGAATTTCGTCCCTCCTCTAAAACTAGAGGCAGCAGATAAATGCATTTTAAGCCACTTGAACCAGCAATCAGCAATTGCACCTACGGCAGAGACGGCTGCTCGAGCCCAACTATCTAAGTTCTCTCCTAAAACCTCGGTATTTAAACTTTTTCTCCTCAAGTAAAATTTACATTCTCGTCACGCGCGCTACCAAAGTTAACTATTCTGGCACTGACAATTAGGGGAATGAAGGCTTATAGGAAAGTCTGAACTAAAATTTAAATTATTAGTTGAAATAAATATAAATCCCTACAAAATGAATCTTGATTTTAGAAGACATCAACGAGTAGGTTAATTGCTTCAATTTCATTATGCAAGAGCTGGCATTTCTCACTCAAACAGAAGAGAAACACTCCAAACTGAAACAAAATTAGCAAAGCAGCAGTGTTGTGTTTGGCCTATGTTATTATGTGTAGTCTTGTGTTTAGTCAAGAACTCAATCGATTTCGAGGGCAAACCGAACCACGGATTTTGTTGATAGGTGAGAAAAATAACTTGAAAAAATTAAACTTCTGGAGCATCTGTACAATTTTATAACTGACAGAAGGATGAAATGGAAGCACAAGAATGATACAGTTGCCAAGTTGCCATTGTTATATACAGTTGCCATTGACCGAGGATTTTTTCCCGTGGTCACTGATAAAGGCCTTTAAATTTTGAGCTTACCATCAAAGAAGACATTCCGCTGTTAGAAATAACATTAATAATCCTGTCGTGCTTCCATTCCATCCTTCTGCCTGTTATAAAATTGCACAGATTCCCCAGAAGTCCAATTTTCAAGTCCTTTAAATAATCCTATTAATAAAATCCATAGTTCGATTCTTAACGGTTCCATTTCGGACATTAATTTTTGGATAATTTATAGCATATGTGTTAGTGTGATTTGAGATATATCTGTTAAAATGAAAGAGCGTTAAAGTTTCATATCAAGGAACACGTACCTTATGTCCGAAAAGGCGAAACTGAATCATAGATGGAAATTAAATCAATTTTGACTCGGAGTCTGCAAAAATTATTCAAAAATCTTCTTGATTGGTGTATTCAATTTCCTTAAAACGTTTCACTTTCCCAAATGTTTATCTTGTTTAGTTAATGATTTTAAGTCCAATCCAGTCTTCATAACGCTTTTAAATTCTATTAACTTAATTTTTTTTTCAATTTCGTTACAATTTTTACCGACAAAGCATTATGAAGGACTCCTGTATCTTTTCGTTCGCGTTATTGCTGTATATTGGCTATATAAAAGACTTCAAACCGAAGAAAATTTCGGAAACTAACAAGATGATTAAAATGCTGCTCTGAAAATGATTTTCAAGTTGAAGAAACTTTTTAATATTATTCAACATTAGCAATACTTCCCAGCCTTGCGGAAAACGGCTCGTGTAACTCCAATTCTCAAGCACAAAAGCCAATCAATGAGCCCCGTTCGTACAGGCCCATGCATAAGTAAGCTCATGAGAGCAGTTATCCTCAAATGTGTAAGAAGTCATCTAGACAGAGAAAGAATATTTTGGTTTCTTAACAATTTACCAACCTCTTATCAATTACATCGTGCTGTTGAACACATTTTGGAGGGCTTTTGCCAAAAGAAATTCACAGTAGGCCTGTTTATCGATACAGCCAAGGCTTTCGATCGTGTTTGGTTGGACGGACTTATTTACAAAATTCACAATCTGAAGTTCCCAGATTACATTACACATATAATTATATCCCATCTGACAGTTAGACACTTTGTCGTTGGAATTTCTGATACACAATCAACTCGCTGTGCTATTTTACCTGAACTACAGGGGTTCTTACTTGGTCCTAATTTATTCAATATTTACGTGAACGACATTCCTAGCACACCTTACACTACACTTACAATGTACGCTAATGATACAGAGATCTTCGCACAGAATGCATTTCTTAGTCCAGTTATTTAACATCTTCAAAGCCACATACATGCACTACAGGCCTGGCCTATTAAATGCAAAATCGAAGACAAGGTTGACAAGACCATTGCTGTCATGTTCACCAGAAAACAGAGCATCCATCAGCATTTGAAGTTATATGGAAAAACTCTGGCCTGGGCTAAGCAAGTCCCTTACCTCGGGGTGATCCTCACTAATTCTCTCACTTGGACCCTATACATACAGTCTTTACTGCTGAAGTTTCGAACTTGTAAAGCTAAACTGTATCTCTTAATGTCTGGAAACAGCATTCTATCTATTGACAACAAGTCAGTCATTAATAAGTCCATGTTGCGGTCTATGCTATATTATTCCTGTCCAGTTCGGGCATATTCTTGTAAATCTGACAGAAAAAAACTTCATACTGCACAGAACTGTGTTCTGAGGTAGATCTTCAAAGCACACCAATACGTTCGTAATAATGTCATTCTTGAAGAACTTAACATTGTACAAATACGATCATTTTATTACCATTTTGCACGAAATTTTCATGCAGAAATGAGGGCACTTAGTCATACTAATCTCCGGATCTATAAATGTAAGGCTGAGCAGCATAAAAAGCGGCGCATTGCCATACTTAACCCTAAGGTGATGATGGAGTAATTAGTATTTAATGTCGCTTTGTTTATAAGTTTTCTTCCTTGATTTGCATTATTTTACTGTATTATTATTGTATGTATTCCTTTTAAATCGTGTATCACATGCATATTCTTGTAAATGTGCATTCATATTCTTGTAATCTCACATGCATATTCTTGTAAACTTTACCACTACTACCACTTGCAATGTGCACTTAAGTACTTTTTGTTCCCCGCTCGATCAGCTTTCTGAACAATCTCCTCCAATTAAATTACATTTATAATACATTTAAAAAATTTTTCAATAATGTGAATTTGTTATTTTATTTCTTAATGTATTATTAAGTATATTATTTTGAAGTTTTTAATCGTTCGATTCGGGATAGAGCACTGGGCCCAAGCACCTGGATGTCTTAAACACCGATCCACGTCAGCTGTTGCTTTCCAGTCTTGCAGATTTCTTTGCTCCTGATGACGAGGCACCCGTACCTCTTTGTCCTTGAAATTGATTAAATTCTTAACTAAATCTAGGACAAACACAAGGTTTTTGCTTTGTTAATTTTATTTTTTAATTAACCCGAAATTTTATTTAATACATAAGAAATTAGGGTTCTATGAAATTTTGATGCTGTGTCGAGTGAAATATTAATAAAAAATCCATTAATGTCAAAAGAAACTAAAACAGAATGATAAGAAAATATATTTAAGTTTGTCGACAAGAAAAAATATACTTAAATTTGTAGATAATATCAAAAGAAATAAAGAAAATTCATTCCTTCTTGGTTCCAAATTTATGTATAATTTCAAATGATTTTTTCATTACAAAAAAATTCCCTTCAGCTTTTATCTAAAACTGAGTATGCATTATACTATACTAGCTGATACCTGCCCGCTTTGCTGGCCACACTATCTATTTGAATGATACTTTGTTGGTTATTCTGGCATGCAACAGGAGATGCACTACTCCTGCTCTTTCCAGATTCCTAAATGAGTCCCCTTATTAGGGTCCTGACGTATGTAAAAGTCCACAAATGAAGCTTTTCCAGTTGAGATAGCCTTGTAAAAGAATCTATTTGAATGTGAACCTAGACTTCTTATATGGACGAAATGTCTAATTTCGAACTGGTAAATAATGTAATTTTTTTAAATTTTAAGTGGGGAAATATATGAGGCCTTAATTTACATTTTATTCTAGCATGCTTTTCTTTTACATATAAATAGCATTCAGTTGGTTTCAGATAACAAAATGTTTTCATTATATTTTTGTGAAGTTTCTTAAACTGCTACATTTTGTTGGGAAACAAATACAAAATTATATTATTCATTAATGTATGACAAATAATTTCAAAATTTGTCCCCTATTTTTAGGCCGTTCTTTCAAGATTTCAACAGCTAGATCCAAAAATCTTATTCACAGCAGGAAATTTCGTTTTCGAAGAAAATGAGATTTTAATGGATGAGAAGATACCACAAGTGGTCGCTGGTTAGTACAACATTTTCAACTCCAATAGCATTTAACGCTTTAGCAAAGCTGTCAACTAACCCAGATTTCGATTTTTAGCTTTTACTAAACAAACCTACCACGTAAAATATTTCCTAGGAAACAAATGAATTTTTTTAATTAATAAAACTTAAATTGAGTAAATTCTATTCCCTCAACTCCTAGTCATCGGTGGAATAATATTTCTTATTAAATTTTACTTGATCTGAATTATCTTAATCTACCATAGACCGATGTGGAACTTTTTATGAAGATTCAACGAGTGTTTAATAAGTTAATAGTTGCATTTAACTTTGCTTTACATAAATAAATATTACATTATTCAGTTTCTTTACACAATAGCGTGCACATTAAATGTTACTTTTATTTTTTTCATTTATCTGTTTGACAATGTTTTTCGATACTGACTATTTTCAACCGATAAGGTTTTAAAGTCTCCAGTTTCTTTAAAGACGGTAGATCTGATTTTCTTGACGTTTGATTACAGTTACTAAATTTTAAATACGTTGAAATTTCTTTCATTTCTTTACCATTTCTAAATAAGAATATCCATCCTCGAAATGATATTAATTATATTCTTCCATGTATACTAGACGATTTTTTTGGTGAAGTACTGTAACTAAATAATATATAATAAACTTATGTTGGTGTTACGGAGTAGGATATCGCGCATGAGCTGGAAGATATGAGCAAAAAACTGACGCTGACATTACATGATTTCCTTGTACGGATATTAAATTATATGCATTTTTGTTGCACTTCATGAAAATTTATTTCCTTGAATTGCTACATTAAATGTTCCTTGAATTTACTTAATTAACTGATTCTTCGAGTCAAATTGAAATTGACACAAACAAAATTCAAATTTCGAAATTAAATATGCCGATCAATATTTGTTGCAATGGAGTCAAATTTCTTTATTTTTATTTTTCCATAATGAGTACGAAACTTTCCCAGATATTAAGTACAAGCGGCATTAAAAGTTAGATTTCGTTATTTAAGTTGAAAGCGCCAAAACATGAATATTTCCGTCATTTAAACACTTCTGTAACTAGAAGTATATGACTATGACCAACGATTGCGAACATAAAAACCGGGTAAAGACTTTTATGCCGGGTAAGAGGGTGAAATATATATATATTTGAATTAAACAAATATTCTCTTATTCATATAAAGCTAATTTAAATTTTAAATTATAAAAATTTAATTGTATACAATAGAAGATTAATTATTGCTGCGAACTAATTTTCAATATCATTCAAATATATATATATATATATATGTGTGTGTGTGTTTGCATGTGCGTGTAATAAAAAGTAGTCTTTGAAGTAATAATATTGTAGAAATAGTTGATGACGTAGAAACGTAGAAAGCTTAGAACGTAGGATGTTGAATTCGTAATGAACAACAAGAATTTTGATTGCGTAGAATGTTGATTTATGATGAAAAGGAAAGTGGCAGCCAAGGCAGGTTAAATCTTCATTTTATTTCAGTAAACATATTGCAGCCACTAACAACTTGACACACTAATCGTGCCTGTTTCGAGCGTTTACATTTTTTATAGCTTTGCTGTTAGAAAAGAGCAGTTCAGCTAGATGGAAGTATAGAAAGCAATTGCGTTGTGTTCAGGATGAAATCTTAAACTCAGTGTTAGTTAGTTTTAGTTCTCAGTGCATTTTACTGTAAAATCATTACTGGCTGAATAATTGTTATTTTGAGTTTTAGGTCCATTTACATCATCAATGTGATGTAAGTGTCATATGACATTGATTAATCAGTCTCGATATGACGCAGTGCAGAAAGAGATTTATGTTTTTAGAATAGAGAGAGGAAATTAATTTAAGCATTAAAAGGCTATTGGCAATTTATAATTTATGTTTTACATATTTTTATCTTATATATACATATATATATATATATGTCTGGTACTGCTGATTGTAATAAAAAAGGAAGATGCGCAATTAGATGTTATAGCAGTCCCACATACAAAATTTGAACGTTCTACGGCTAATCGTTTTTAAGTTATGAGAGCTACATACGTACACACGTAGGTACAGACGTCACGAAAAAATCCATTTTAAATCCACTTAACATGTGTTTTGGAAAAAAAAGAGTGCTTTATTCTGTCCGTACATACAGAAGCCAAGCAAAACAGTACTCAAAATGAATTCAATAACGGTCAAAATGAATATTTACGTTGAAATCTGAAATCTGCAGCTTTTTGTGTTTGCATTGATTACTTTACGTCGTACAAGGAAGTAGAAAAACTTCTAAACTTAATTCTTTATTATAAAATGTTTTCAATCTTTTTTTGTAGAAATAATTTTATAATGACTTGTAGAACTGCTGTCGATTTAACGCTCATTTTGTTATTTAATGTTTATGTTGAATGTTGTCTATTCCTCTGTAGAATACAATTTTTTTTTGTCTTGCTCGTATATTTCATGGAAGAATGGTTGCCAGAGCCTCAAGGAGGTTTGACTTCTGTAGAATACAATAGACACACTATCTGCTAGTAAGCCATTAAATCATGAAATTGCATTACGGCTCTAGGGCTCACTTTTGAGAAGAGGTTAAAAATAATTACAGTAAAACAATAATTTTAATCAAGAGTTTTGGAAGTTTTCTGTTGAACTGAATGTGTGCAAATGACTGATGTTGAGGAGATTCAATCAGAGAGTTTTCTACATTTCAATAATTTTAGCCTCTACAACTACAGACGTCTTTCTGCAACTGTAGCATGTGCATTCCTGATCAAATTGAGCTTTTAATGGAAAAAGGTTTATTCTTACGTTATAAGGTATTTTCTTCCTTCTTTCCGCATGCCTTCGTGTGTAATTGGAACCATACTCGAAGCGTATTCGAGAGGTCCAGTGTTCAAATCCTGGCAAGAGCACTGTACTTTTTTCACGTCTCCTGCTTCCAAAAAAACCTAATGACCCTGCAAGTGGCCGAACTAAAAGATGGTGGACGATAATTCGCCAGAATCAGGATTCCTATACTCCCCGATCGCCCTTTAAAAAGAGGAGAATGTAAGGTATTTTCTCCCTCCTTTCCGCATGCCTTCGTGGTGTAACTGGAAGCATACTCGATGCGTATTCGAGAGTTCCAGGCTTCCAACCCCAGCAAGGCAACTTCACTTCAGGTCTGTTAATTAAAAAAAAAAAAAAAAAAAAAAAAAACTACAACATCTCAATACATTTTCCAAAGTTTAAAAATAAAAATTAATATGTTGAAAATTAATATGAAACTTCGAAATAAATTTTAAATTTTCAGAGTGTTTAACCTTTTTATTTATTTAGTCTTTACTTTCTTCTGTGTTTTTCAAAATCTTGTGTGTCACCAAATGAACGAACTTTTTTTTTTTACTATGTATGACTTTTTTTTTTTTTTTTTTTTTTTTTTTATTGCTTGTGTGTATTTCTAGGTTTGCCTACGCTTCAGAAAGTTGTTTATGCTCCTGGAAAAGATGGTAGCACGAAACAAATTATTAAAGACACACCCAAATGGTAAAAGCAGTAGTATTTCATACTTCAGAACTCTCAGTACAATGTACCATCATACTAAGTAGTAATTTTCAAATCTTTCGTTAGCCTCATGTGATTTTTATAACAAAGATTAAAGAAATTGAAATATATGCAAAATATCAGAATTCAGCTTGCAATTTTGTAGAGTTATTATTATTATTATTAAATAAAAATATTAGTATATCTTTGATTATAATTAATGATCCTTTGGTCTACATTAAACTATTGTTTAAGAAGTTAAACATTTCCAAGCATCTTCTGCTCTATTTATTATTCTATTCCTCGACATGAAAGATTTGCTAGTCTTATTCCAATTTAATTGCCCACTTTTGATAAATTAAATAAGGCGAGTATTGTACCAAACTCAGTAAGTACACAAATATACAGGTTGTTCCAGTTAAATGGGTAATAGGATTTTCATAAAAGAAATTAAATTGTGTAAATTAATGTAAGTGTTGATATGAATAAAAATAACAAATTTGATATAAGAAAATAAATAAGTTATTTTGAAGATCTTTAAATTAAGAAAATATAATTTTTTGCAAAAATGCACGTAAAGATTTAGCTCACATGTTAAAATTCATAGAAAAATTTTAGCCTCATATATGAATGCCCCTTTTTTCATGTTCGTGGAAAAGGAAAACAAAGTGAAATGCCAAAAATGCACTAAATATTTTGAATTAATAAACTTCATTTTCAATCTTTTTAGACTTCGTATAATATCCGTAAAAGTGACGAATGAAATATACCATAAAGGCAGTAGTTTCTTTCAGAACATTCGGATTCGTATAATATGCGTAAAAGTGGCGAATAAAATATACCATTATGGCAGTAGTTTTATCAGTACATTCGGATTCGTATAATTTTCGTAAAAATAACGTGTGGAAAATAACGATAAAGAGTCAATAGTAACTTCAGCCTTTTTCATTCGTATAAATTTCGTAAAAGTAACGTGCAAAAAATACCATACCCTTATTTCACCAAAATTATACGTATATTTTTGGAGACGTGCTGCGTGGGTCTTTATTCCTTTCATTAATAAATAAACTCCAGAATAGGTACTAAACACCAGCAGTTTTAGTTTAAACAGTATACAAATTTAATATTGTTAAGTATCAACAATTTTAGTTTGTTGATTAAATGTTAAAATACTACTATATACAAACAGGTGTAGTTCTAGTTACTGAATTCAGTAGCGAAGCAACTGAATTTCGACAAATTATTTTGAAAAAAAGACCGATTTTTCAAATTTTGAGTCAAATGAATATTTATGTAAGTTCCTTTAAGCAATGTAAGTATTAGTGGAGGCTGGCTGGTAATCTAAATTTTGAGGATGCAAGTTAAAATCCCCGTAAACCTTGATTATTTGTATATGTCCTTTCTTTTCATTCTCTCAGATATAATATTCTCTACTCCTCTTGTGCACGCAGCGTACGGTTTCACTGGGGAATGGTGTACACACCGGATACCTAGGCCGTAGGCCTACTTCTATCGAACAAGAATTGGGCATTTTCTAATTATGGGTGCATTAGTAAGGTTTAATAAATTTTTAACCATAGTTGAATGATTTGCTTATAAGCATAATTAATATAGAATTGATAGCTAAAAGAAGTAAGTGTGGTGAAACCGTGCAGAGAGAACTCTGAAAATTCACATCTAGCCCAGAGCAGAACGAGCTGGTGATTGACATCCTGAAAGATAAACAATAGCATCGAATCAGACATAGCAAGAAAAAGGGCAAGTGGGATTCCTTCCGTGAGAGGTTATCATAAAGTAAAAGGCATGCAAAATCTAACACGTGAGATGGTAAACATACACTAATAATAATTCAATTAATAATAATGCAATTAGGATACAAGAACACTGGCGTTGAGGATAAATAGTCCATCGGGATTCATTCGTAAAAACAGTGATGAGACATCTAGGCGTTGGCCACTTCAAACAAATGCTTTGATGAGGCGATTCGTATATTAATAAATATATGCTGCAAATTTCACATGCTGAAAATACTTTCGAGATATGTGCATTTTTAAGTGCCGTTAAAACCTTGAAGCCAAGTTATTTCAATATCAAATGTTTCACTGTTCTAAATTATTCAGACTTTTATCGCACAGAAAATAACTAATGATATGCTTCGAAAGATTTCGTATCGACATTAGCAGTAAAATCCGTTATGGGAGAAAATGTAAAATTAGATTTTGTTCCTTCTTTGGTTTGATATTTATCTTTATGTAAGCACATAAGGAGTTCAGCCTTTGGTTCTTTCATACTTAAGATGCTAGCTGTTACATTCCGGAAATAACGCAAGAAAATATATTTAGATTTTCTGTGCCGAAGAACAGATAACGAGCGAGTAAAATGGCGAAATTTACACCTTGAACCAAAATACAAAATCCAAAACACGTAATAAAAATTATAAAGTTGTAGTTTTATTCTAGTAAACATATTAAATGATTTTTTTCTTCATTTAAAACCGAACAAAATTTTTTAAATAAATAATAATGATATCGGAACAAATTATGTAAATTACAAAATTTTGAGCCGTTAAAATCAAGTTTTGTCATAGACAGTTCAAGTAATTTGATCATTGAAGCATTGAATGTGCAATACGGGTACATGAAAAGCGAAAAGTTATTAAAAACAATGATAGATTTGCGTGGCTTTCAAAGTACTAAAAATATCAACGTAAGTACTTGTAGTAATTAGATCAAATAAAGTAAGATGCGTAATTATGAAACATAAAATTATAAAAGCGTTAAATCAGAACTGCTGAATTAGATATGTTTTACAATGAAAGTGAAATTGCATATACACCAACACTAATGCTTCCATTTCAGCAAATATTGTTGAATTAACTTAATGTGACCGATTCGTAGGCGAGTCAAGAGAATATGTCTTTCCGGTACACCACACTCATATCAAATAAAAATTTCTGACTTTCAGCTAAAGGTGTCATAAGCTAAAGAAGTCGAAACTTTACTAAATTCATCTTGTGGCTAACCCTTAATAATAACAACGTAAGCGATTTATCGCCATGTCTTCAGAAATACTACAAATACTTTAGAAAGGTATAAAATACCCTTTATTTTAAAACTAAGTAAGGTGAACAGAAGGCAAACCTGGTGCTTACAAAGCAGCCAGCATTTATGGCAAGAACTCAAAACTAGAAATTCAGTGTAAAACTAAATCGAAATGGATAATAGTCAAAAGATACTCAGAGTAATTTAAACGCGAAATTGCCTCTTAAAGTTTCATCAGTGTGAAATATTATCGGCCATTATAATCGACGGCTGAAGACAGGAAATCTTATCTTAGGAATAGCACATCCAGCAACGTGGCCTTCACTAGGGAAAACATACTCCGTCTAAACCATCTCAAACCCTCACTAAATACACGAGAGCTAATTTGCATTCTGGCGAGCAAATGGAAAGAAAGAAGTGACAGAAAGGATGGAAGCTATTTTTAATTAAAGGTAGGAAAACTGATATATTCTTTACATTTAGAAAAATCTCCCTCTCGTGTACGTCCACTAATAGTACAGATACAGATATGAAAATTTAGTCAACTATAGAAATTTTTTTAAATTGGAACGGAAATTGATATGCATTTTTTACAAACGAAATTGGCTCAAAGTTGACAAATATATGGGTATATTTTAATGTGCAAATGTAATGCAGGGCCGTTATTATCAGCTTCAGTTAGCTTTATTTGCTGCCCAAATAACAAAACTTTTAACTGTCCTATTGCAGGCACATGTAAAAAAGGCCTTCTTAACATTCTTTTTTGCCCTAAAAGAGAAACGAACCGGAACAAAATATCAGAAGAATCTAAAATAAAATGAAAATTTTTTTCTCTGGGGCATGGAACAAGACATTCGTGCACTTTGCGTTAGCTAAAGAAGAAGAGAATCTGAGAAGACAGAAGACTGAGACGGACAAAGTCATACGCATAATTCTACGTCTACTTGAATATGTTTACTATGATATTTTTCGTTATAGTATAATACTTGCTGCACGAAAGATCTCAGGCAGATCGTCCTGGAGTGCTTTGCCGAAATGAAATATACCAAACCATAAGTTCATTTCAACTACTGCAAAATTTTTCGAAACAGAAGACATTTATCTCTTAGGTTACTTATTTCCATACACAAGGAGAAAAAATATAAAAATATGCCTCAATACTTTTAAAAGCAAAAATACTGTTATAAGACAGAATAACAATGCACTTAATTTTATTGTAACCAAAAGGCAATGGTGGTGTATATATTTTTCAGCATAAAATTGTTCGCGCTTAGTCCTATAACGAAAAAGCTCCTGTGATTCTTATAGTTGAAAAATTTTATCTCAGTCGAAATGAATTGATAAGGAAAATATATTTTCCCTCTATAAGTGTTAAGATAGCTCGTATATACTTCTAAAAAAAGTTGCTTGTAGAGTGACGTCCTATATCGGGAAATATCCACCTGCTGTTGGAAACATGCTCGGAATTTTTAACTTCATTGTATGAGAGAAAGAAATGCTTATTAAAATGTTTATTCTGAGACTTTTGCTAACGTATGTACACACACACACACACACACACACACACACAAAAAAAAAAAAAAAAAAAAAAAAAAAAAAAAAAAAGTTCCATTTCTACGGAACGGACAATCCTTTTTTTAAAAATAAGATGAACATTTCTCCTGTGGGTACTAGCATGCAAGCAATCGGCTATTTCTGAGAAAAGAATAGTCAAAATAAGTTTTTCTGCAATCTTATTTTGTCTGATCTCCAGAAATGCCGCCGAATGCCAACCATAGGCCGATTAGATAAAACCGATACACAGTGGCATTTCCTGCCGGACTCGGTTCCAGATATTTTATGTGTTGGGATTTTTGCAGTTTTACACAGATATAAAATGAATGCTAACTTATTTTTTAATTCGTTTGTACACTGCGAAAAAAAAAAGCAGTTCCTTATCTCTCGTTCTACTGGGCCGATTGACGAAATTGAACTGCGTCTTTCGTATCTCGAAAGCGCGACTTAGGATATGTATTAGATTTATATATAGCATTGTTCTAATATAGGTATTTTGACACAAAATCGGACTTTTTCTGAAATGACATGCTCATTTTTTTCCATATTTCGATTCTACGACTCAAATTATGCCAAACTGCCAAGTTTTGTAAAAATCGCACAAGTAGTTTTTAAAAAATCAGCGCTCAAAATTTTAGCTTCTCAATGTTATTTGATTGTGGATATGTATTTATTACTCTTTTTTATTAAACTTGATTCTTCATTTCACATTTCAAAATTTAGGTTCATTCCAAATAAAACTCGCCCATTTTTAGGATTTATTTTTAATTAATTTTTATAAATTTTTCGAAAAACATTTTAAATTATAACCTATAAAATTTTTTCCATCATCTTAAAGTAGATATATTTCTAAGCATGCCTGCAAAAAAATAGAGGTTTCATTCAAAATTTTCTAAGACATACACGAATTTACATTTTGGCGGGGTTTGAAATTTGGCGTATTTATAAGTGATCATAACCAAAATGTGATTTACGCATTTTGTTAAAAATTCTTTGAAAGTATGAATGATGACTCTTTTTCCGCTCGTGGACAATGGAAAAAAGGGAAAGGAGAACAGGTTGCTATAAATTAAGAAGTTCAGCTAGAGGCGAAAACTGAAATAAGTTCTTAGCTCAAACTGAAAAAAGTTCGCCAAGATAAATTTTTAAATTTCTCCACAAATTTCTCACCAAAAATTACAAAATTTAATATCTAGGCATAATTTGAGTTGTAGAACCGAAATATGGAAAAAATCGATATGTTATTTTAGAAAAAGTCAGAGTGTGTCAAAATACCTATATTAGAACAATACTATAAAGAAATCTAATACATATCCTAAGTCGCGCTTTCGAGACATGGAGAATACAAGAAAATTTGAATTTCATCAATCGGCCCAATAGAACGGGAGATGTAGAACTGTCACCTTTTTTTTTTTTTTTTCCCCCACAGTGTACCTTTTTTTAGTTCATTAAGAGCAAGGTATGTGTTGCCTACTTGCCTATTTCTTGCATTCTGAGGGAAACTGGCTCATATTCATTTTATAGGTGGAGAAAACCACGGAGATGGCTATACATCTAGCTAATTTGCCGGAATGCTAACTATCACTCTTCAGCGGTTTTATTCAATCGGCTACTAGTGAGCAGTAGTTTTATTTTCTTTCAGAAAATCCTCCACAAAAAGCATATACCTTCTAAGGGAGATAGTCGTCATAAACTTAGCTATAATCAGTTAACTCACCTATCTTTTCTTGTATTTTTCGGCGTAATTAGAATATCAGCGCATTTATCGCTTTTAAAGTGAACCTGAAATCTTCAGCATATTGAAGGCTGAGTATACATATGAATATACTTATTTGGCAAATTTGAGTTTATGTCAGAAACGAATATAATTATAATGAAACCTTGATATGTCTAGCTTATTTATAAATAAATTTTTTATTTTGAAATAAGTCAAAACTTATTTCAAAATTTTTCGAATTAAAATTTTTATTTTCATTCTTATGACTACAAATTTCTTATAACTAAGTTCTTATAATGGAAATTAACTGTAGTGTCTTCAGAAAAGATAAACAGAATGCACTCTAGTAAGTCACTCGTTTCTAACCCACCAGCGGCAGATCAACAAAGTCACTGAATAGTGGTAGTTCGACCTAGGTTCGACTCCATGTGAGCGGGCTGCCTGCGTGGGGGTTGTTGTTTCTCCCATGTATATGAGCCAGTTTCTCAAGTTCCAGAAAGTGCTCTATTAAGGCATCCCTTCCTTTACAGCTTTAATTTTAACGGAAAGACTGATGCTTCGGAGACAAAAATAGAAGGCGTTTTCGAAAAATAAGGCCAATAAAATATTCAATTTCACCATTTGTTAATAAAAATTTATTACTTTTTTAAATTGCTTCTTTAAAAGAAAATATAGTGCACAAATCATATTAATTACAAAACTTTTTATTTGCAGTTGCTCGATATCGGAGTTTCTGAAAGAAGCGAGAGAAAGAGTGGGGAGCGCGGATATTAAAATGGAATTCGAACAACTTCCTTTCGACCATCCTTTCTGTATTAGTTTCACATCGGGCACAACAGGTCTTCCCAAAGGTCTCATACATTCTCAAGGAGGTAAGAATACATATCTGTTTATAGCGCTAAGACTATGATGAGGCGACTGAGACATTTATCTCAGGTACACAAATAAAAGGAGCACTAAAAGAGAAATTGATTTAAAAAGAAAATAATTTATGACTAAAAAAAATTGAAATCTGAATTAGCTCATTTTTTCCCCCTCAAAAATATTTTATGGTGTTGAAGGCAAGGTTTTACAACATATATACTTTTGAAATTATTAAAACTTTAGGTGCTACTTTGGTAGACGGTTGCACGGATTTTGGCGAATTTTTTTTTTTTTCTTTCTTTTTTTTTTGGGGGGGAGAGCGATACTACTTATAGGTAAACCCATTGCTGGACAAGTTATTTATGGTAATCCGACACTTTGTTGTCATTTTATCTAAAACATAATGCACTTTATTATACATAAATTCAGTGTTTTAAATATTATTTATAGCTTCTAAATATTAAAAATCATTTTAATTTTGCATTTTTATTTGAAAGAAAAATTTTGTTGTTTATGATATTTTATGAAATTTTATTTTGTGGATGATGGTAATCAATGACGTCACCTTGCTTTAAAAGTAATTGGTTTTAATAAAACCAGTTGCCAATAATTTATAGACCAATTGCTTTAAAAGTAATTGGTCTATAAATTTAATCTAATGTTTTAAACATTTTTACGGCTGTTAAATATTAAAATACAATTTAATTTTGCATTATCTTTGAAAAATGATTTTATTATGTATGATTATTTAAATAATTTTAATTCTATGCGTGATGTAATCAGCTCCTTGATTGGTTACTGAATATTTGTGCATTACCGCGCCATTTTAAAATTTTATTATTCATCTCTTCGAATTCCTTAGATTTCATAGGGAACGGATATGTCCCTTTCAAAGATGAATGTTGTTATTGGTAAGTACCAAGAATTATTAGTATCGGAATCAAAAAATTGTCCTTTGAGACCTTGTTTTGGCCGACCTGGCTTTCCTAATCAAAGCTATATTTATAAATTGTTACAAAGGTCAGAGGAAATTTATTTGAAATTTTTGGAGGAAACCTGGATAATTACTTCTTCAATGAAGTGCGAGAAATGTGGATCACAGATGAAGATTGTTAAAAAAGCCGATTCTGAGGACGGCCGTATATGATATTGTGGTTCACGGTGGAAGAAATAACCCCGCTGTAACGGTAAAAAAAGTATTCCTCTTTTTTTACCGATAGTAAACTTCTAATTGCTGTTATATTAGCTTTAGTGTACGAAGCGTTCTTATTTACTTATTTTAATGTATTTGAATTTAAGTAATATTTTAATTCTTTTAAACGTTAGTATAATGGTTTTTAATTCGATGTTCAGTTTAAGTAATATTTTAATCCAATTAAACGTTAGCGCAATGTTTTTATAAGGGTATTTTTATTCTATTCCATTGCTATATGAAAGTAATAATTTAACCTTACTTTAGTATTTTATGCTCGTAGTAAATGTTTATTTACATTTGCCTGCCATCTTAAGAAACAACGTTTTTAACAAAAAATTAATTCCATTATTTTTAGCAATATTTATTTTTTTTTTAAGTTTCAATTTCTTTACTATAGTTTACAAATTCTTTACTATACTTAAGTTTTAAATTCTTTACTATAGGTAAAATGCGTAAGAAACAGCGTTTTTCAAGATGGCTGATGATTTGTTAAAACCACGCCAACAATTGCGCCAAAGTAAGCCGCCAAAAATCCGTGCAACCGTCTACCAAAGTAGCACTAAACTTTATTTATAATTTATATATAACTAATAGTTATATTATATTATAACTTATTTATAACTTTAATTTCATGGGAATTCTAAAACTCGGAATGAGAAACACTGTGCATTAAAAAAATACATAAGTATACTGACAATATTCGCGTTTATAAACAGTAATTCATTCTTAATAGTAAATTATAATATTGTAAACAGAATTTATCCTTTAAGGGGTCATCTATTATTAAGCGGATCATAATACCTTATTTGTTTTATGGTTTTATATTAAAATTTACTTCTTACAATAATTTTATATATACTCAATATAAAAATTTCCTATATACTCAATATAAAAATTTCCTATATACTCAATATAAAAATTTCCTATAATGCTGAAGTTATGTCAAAAAATAATTCTAATTGCAATTTAAAGAACCAGATGGTTTGTTTAAATTTGGATTTCAGGAAATTTTTCATATTCAGTTCATTAAACTATGCATAAAATTTTTTTGTATCCAATTTTAAACATCTATATATAGTTATGCATCAAAGAAAAACAAATTATTAGTTTATCGACCTATATAAGTGTTAATTTTAAGAACATAACATATCGAGAAGTAACTTCAAGTATATAACAAATAGTGAGAAGTAATTCAATTTTTTTCAGTTAAGATTTCGTGAAAACACGATTTCCCTGAATAGTTGATTAGAATTTCAAGAAATTATTAATTCTGCAAACACCAGATCTGTGAAACAATCACCCATTATTTTGCTTTTCACGTGATAACTTTTAGTACTGCAATTAAATTTGAAATCCCATAAAATTTTTGAATTATTACGTTCAATAACAATTATTAAAATAACGCATGCAGTATTGTTTAAATATATACTGTACCTAGTTACAAACTCATAAATATATTTTTACACTTCTTTATTAATATCACGAAAATTATGTGCATTTACAGGCTTTAAAAATAACTATAGCTTTAAGTTAAGATTTCTCAAAACCATAACTTTCCTGCTTGCGCATTTGATTTCTTTAAAACGGTCAAAATTTTATGATCTTTATATGAGTATAAAATGACAAACTATAATGCTTCCAGCATAAAATATTAAGCAATTACGTTTGGTTTTATGTTAAAAAATGGTCGATTTTGCAGTCTGAAAAATAAAATGTATTATTTAAGAAAATATAAATAAAATCCAATTGCTTTATAAGCAGGTCATTTCAATTTTTTCTATTTTTCTAACTGGAAGATAAAAATTATCTAAAATAATGATATGTTAAATAAACTAGTTATTAAGACAATGAGGTTAAAAATGTGTGATATTTTCGACACATTTTGACAATGAACCACTATCCAAGATAAGTAAAATACATGTTGACAGATATCGCTGGGAGGAATAGTAGTATCTATGCAGCAGAAGCGAGCAATACGCAAAATAGTTGGTGTTCAAAATTCCTGAAAATAAATGTTGACTCGTCTTCGTTGAATCCTTTAATATCTATGAACGTATTAAAACTACGACATGTTGATCCGTGTTGTTCGTAATATTGAAAAGTAACAATGGGTAATGTTGACCCGTTGTTTCCTGAGAAATTAAATTTTGTAAACGATAAATGAAAAGGACACTTGTACTTAGTATCCTGTCTCGACCTCTGGCTGAAATTTTGGCAACAGTCGCCAATCGTTACTCCGAAGTTCTAAAGGAAATGAGTCATTAATAATTGAAGATAAATCTGGCCCGTCGACAGGATAATGCGTAAATACCATAACAGGACATCAGTAATGAAATGCACATGGACTTAATTAAGACATGGAAAACTAACTTAGGGGCTGTAAATATTAAAAGCTTAAAACCTCACTGACCCCGCTATCTAGCTCATAATGTTTAAATTAATTTTTGAGCTAGGAGTATGCATAGCAATCACGGAAAGAAGAGCAAGATTCAGTTAGAACTAGAATGCCTTTTAACCGGCAGCAACGGGACTGCGCAGATTCCGGATAACTGAACGTATATTTTTTAAAATTTACTTGCTCATGTTTGATGATGTCAGTTGTAGATATTGCAGCATACGAAGTCTGGCGACAGTGTCTTTGAACTATCGGCAAATATTAAATAAATAATACTGAAAATCATACAGATAATTTAAAATTAAAGCACGTAACATGAATTTATATTAAAAAAAATTAAATAGCATTTTAAAACTACCATATTTATTATGACATGAAAATTACGAATTTCTTAGTATGATGGCATATAATTTCGAACCCTTGCTTGCTTATAAGATTGTATCCGTAGTTTTAAAAATTCGCTCTATATGCAATAAAGTTTCATAACATCGCGAACGGGCATAGACGAATATTTTTCATAAATTCTTATGAAAGTCTTTAATTCTTCCTCAGCTCCTTTCCACATAACTTTCTGTGTTCGTCTTAAACATCACCCCCTCCTCATCATCATCTTCCTCCTTTCGCAGTACATGTCTTATTATTTTGTCACCTTCTTGAGAGAATGCGACGGGAACAGAACTGCCTACATCCATTCAATCCTGCAACTTCTCTCCTTTAACACTAAACTTCTACGAATATGTATGTAAATCCAAGATGTCCAAGAGAGTTTTGTCACTCGAATCCTCATCTACAAACATAATCATAGACTAAAAGCGACGCAAAGTGATATTTTTATATGTTTTCAGGAAAACGACAAAGTAAATATGGTGTCCTTTGTTGAAAATTGATTCTGAAAATCCAGGATACTACTTTTAAATTTTACACAATGAACTCATAAAAAGGGATCGGTTATTCCTCTTTATATTTTGGATAATTTCTTGACTCACCAGCTGAAGATAAGCGATAAATTATTTTTATATAATTTTTGACTGTCTCTCATGAAGTAAGTTGGACCTTCCTTAAATACTTCTTCTAACTCATTTGCATTCAACGGAATTCTAAAATCTAAAATCTCATTTTGCTAAGAAGTTGTAAGTGGAAACAAGAATTGATAGAAAAGGGTCTGAAATAAAAATACCTGTTATAAAATTAAAATATACTTTATAAAATAGTGATAAGCATACAGTATACAATACTCACATTTTTTTATTTTACCTCACAAATGTCCAGACACAGTTCTGCTTGTTCATACTTGCAAATGTTAATTCAAATGTGGGAGAATTTTTAAATAATTTTTAAGCAGGATAAAATCTTCACACATGCGTTCATATGAAGTGGCTGCATATTTTTGTTTATATATATATATTTAGACATAAGTTTTCAGCTAGGATAATTTCTCAAAATAAGGCAGTGAATTTATGAAAGCTACTTCTATTTATGAAAGCTAGGTCTGTCAGTAGACGGGTAAATACAAGCATACTTGCATACAACCTAGATTTTCACAGAATCCTCTCACCCAGAAACAAAATTCCAGTGAGCACATAAATATGTTTAATTAAACTAATTAAAAAATTTTCCATACTTTCCCGCACCACATTTACAAAGATTTATTGGCATTTTCATGAAGCCAATTATAAATTTAAGAAGGAGTTTCATTCATGCAATATGTGCTCATCACTGGTAAAAGAGTTAATACCGCTGAACAATGGTAGTTTGACCCGGGCTCAAATCCTGGTGAACATACTAGCTTCTTTAGTGTTTTTATGTTTTTCCTCCTGGGTACCCAAAAATACGAAATTTTCTTTGTCAGTGCTTTTCCAAAAATTGCTAAATCAAGCTATCAGTTTTTAATGGTTGACTAAATTAACATCAGTAATATCAGTAGAAAGAATGCCAAATTTTCTTTTTTCTTTTCTGTTCAACTTTGATCCAGGTGAATGGGCTGACTGAATGGGAATTTTCGTGTTTTTTTCTGATGTGTAACGTGAATACGAGCCTAAAACTTTTCATGAAGGCATCCTCCCCTTCAGGCTGATAGCTCTAGTACTATTCATTAATCAACTAATTTGTTTAATCAAGCGTATCAGAAATTTATATTATACAACATATGGATTTATATGGAAGCTAAAGTAATTTTTTCCTTGTCTAAAAAAAAAGATTGAATGTTTATTCTTTCTCCTCTCCTCTTACTTCTAGAGAAAGAGGACGGAGATTTTTTTTTTCTTCTTTTTCCTCTAGGGAAAAAGAAGAGAAAAAATCTGATGTGTGATGATCACCACATGACTTCCTTGTACGGAATATTAAATTATACGCATTTTTTCTTGCATTTTATTTAATCTTATTAGACTGAATTAAACGTACTTCGCCGACAGCGCATAAAACACAATAGAATAAATGCACTCTTTTAAAATTCATTCTTATATTTGTTTACCATAGCGACACTCTGGCGCTAAGTTTACTTAACAGCGTTATATTCGTGGCTCATATTATAACTCAGAATGCACAAAATGTACATCATTTAAAGAATTATCTAAAAATCGTTTGCCACATGTTCTATTCAAATACTATAATAAAGCTAGAACGATGTATAAAAGAAATTAAGCGCAAACAAAACAAAAAAGAAAATAATAATAAACAGTTTTTCACAGACGATTCAGTATTTCTCATTAAATTAATTCAGTTCTCACTTCGCGACAAGACAAAAATACATAAAAACTCAAAATATCTTATATTAAAAACTTACGAAGTAAATCTCTAAACATGCTTATTTCCCCGAAAAAATTCCAGAAAGAATTAAGCATGATTTGTTCAAGTTGAAAGCAATAATAAACGAATAAATTAAGGCAATAAATAATAATTGAAGGCGTTATCTTTGTTGTTGCGAAGCTAAGTTTCTCTAGATTGGCAACAAATCCACTAGTCTCCCGTTTCAAATGGAAACATCAGTGGCCGCCATTAAAAATAGGCTTAGCGGCAATTAAACAACTTTAAAATTGCTGATAATTCTAAAAATATTGCACACAGATTTACTAAAGCCATAAAATCCTTAACCGGAAGATAAAAACAATATAAATCAATCATTTTTAAAGCAAAAAAATGTACAATTTAAAAACATATAAAACTAAAGAAACTGAGATCACTGAACCGGGTAATAGAGTGGATATATATATAAATATATTTATATACGTTTGGTGCGCCGATTGCAACGAAAATACGAGGTGCACATCTACATGTTATAGCAGTCCTATATACAAAATTTCAACGTTCTGAGGCTACTCGTTTTTGAGTTATGCGAGATACGTACGTACATACGTTCGTGCAGACGCCACGAAAAATTCCCTTCAGAATTAATTTTAAAGCAGTTTTTTAATTTTTTTGAAGGAAAAGAGTATTTTATTCTGTCCTTACGTACAGATATCACGCAAAAACATCGTTAAATTGCATTCGATAGCAGTCAAAATGGATATTTTCGTTGAAATATGCTGCCTGAAACTTTTCGCGATTACAATACTTCCTTTTTACTTCGTACAAGGAAAGTAAAAAGGAAATATTTCATGTCAATGATTTAGATAATCAACTTTATTACTTGAAAAATTAGGAATACCTCTGTCATTGTTATAGCCTTATGGTATTTTTCTCCAACTGGCGAAATGCGAATTTTTTTAAGTACGCTATAGTATTGACAGTGTGATAGAAAAAAAAAAGCATGTATCAAGTACAGATTACTTAAATCTAATTAGATCAATAATATGTATGAGAATGATTTCTTCCACCACAATGAACTTTCTATCAACTATTCTTCAAATTGTCATATTTTGTTCACTAAACTTTTAATTTTATTTTTCAGTCATTTTTTGCATCTCTTAAGGACTATGGTTTGATGCAGGACTGCACGCAAGACGATACCCTTTTGAACTTCTCACCGGTAAGCATTTTACTTTTGAAATCAATGAAAAAACTTGTTAGATATATACAGCAAAAAAATTGTAAAACTACAAAAGTCTACAAGAAAGTACTACTATCGATTTATCATATTAATGATTTCTAATTCTCTCAATCTAATCTTTATATCAAACTAGAGTTACTGTAACATCGTGTCATCAGTTCAGATTTTTCGAAGTCGATACCGTGATTTAATGCGGCGGTAAGCCCCCGCCGGATAGAACAACCGAAATTATTTGCCTTTTTGAATTGTAAGGTATTTTCTCCCTCCTTTCCGCATACCTTCGAGGTGTAACGGTAGCACATTCGGCGCGTATTCGAGAGGTCCAGGTTTGAATCCCGGGGAGGGCATTTCACATTTTTCACATCTTCTTCAAAATAACCTAATGACTCTGCACTGGCGCCCGAATAAAGAACGATGGTGGACGATAATTAGTCACCACCAGTATTTAGTTATTCCGTCCCTTGATCCCCACTGGCCACTTAAAAGGGGGAGTATATAAGGTCATACTCTCCTTCTGGCATGCCTTCGTGGTGTAAATGAAAGCACTATCGGCTCATATTTGAGATGTCCAGGTTAGAGTCCTGGCGAGGGCATTACACGTTTTTCATATAGCTTTCCTCAAAATGACTTAATGATTCTCAAAGTTTTTTCGTTTTATTCAAACTTAACAATTTAATGGCAGATAAAATCTTTCGCTAACAGTGTTACATTTGTACTATCGGTAAAAGTCTCTGCGGACACGGACGGCGCCCGTTCATTTTATCAGATCTAAAGTCATTCTCAGTTCCTTTCGTCTTCCAGTCCTTAACAGCTACACATGTGCAGCGCCTTCCTCGGGCTTTGCAAAGTCTTGATAAAACAGTTTTAGAAAAGTTAGACGCAGTTTAGAGAAATTTGTTTTAAGCAATTAATGTTTTTAGAATAGAAAGTTCAAAATGGGGAGTTAAGAAGCTTTTTCATATTAAAGTTAAAAATTTGATTTCTGTACTTTTTATCTTACATGCCATCAAGAACTTCAGTCAAATCTTCATATACTTTTTATATTACACTTGCTTATCTTTTAGGCGTATTCTTAAAACTAAATGAACTAAACGTTTATTTACACAGTAATTCTTTGTCTGTTCTCAATGTTCGTGAGAAATTAACAGGGTTTAAGAGGAAACTTGATTTATAAATTAATTGTGCTAAACATAGAAATGTTTAACCATTTCTAGCCTTAGAATCTTTTTTAGTAGAAAATGAGATCCTTGTTAGAAAAGAATGGTGAAATGATATATTTTTGTATCTAGATTTGAGGGTTATTAGTAGAAAATTATATTGTTATTGGAAAAAAGTTACGCAATCATCATGTTTGCATCTCGAAACTCTGAACTCACGATTTGAAGCATATTAACCAAGTAGTAAATGTAACGAATTTTCGTGGAATCTTAATCCTTTCTATTGCGACTTTGAAAATAATAAACTGTCATTGAATTAAAGAGAAATGTTACTTGAACTTTCTAATGAGATCGGACTTAAGAACAAACATAATTTTTTCTCTGTTACTTAATTATTAATACCAATAAAAATTAAATGAATTTTAATTGTATTTTTAAAATAAAAGTATACAGTTAGTAACGTAAGGCTAAAAATAAATTGCTTTCTAAGGGGACAAGAGTAAGGTGGTCCGCAAAATATTCTAATTAAATAGTTCCCCACTTAGAAAAGTTTGAAAAATGATCCCCACTTAAAAAAATTTCAGAAATGCTGGTCAAATAAATTGCCGTCTTGAAAGAAAGCTACTTAACTTGACATCCCAAAAAGAATGCATGTTAATCACGGCAAAAACTTTTCCTTCAGATAAAACATTATTTAGCCAACATTTTCAAACAACAGGAAATGTCTGACATTTTTCATGCATTTTCCTGATTTTTCAGAGCAATTGCATAATTGTTTCTCGTTCGAAACATTGAAATCCAAGAAAGGTTTGACAAGTATTATTCACAAGAAATTATTTGGTTGAAATTACTGATTTTTAGACGGATAGCATGCTAGTTTACCTTTCATGACCGATAGTTTCAGTGTTTTTAGTGAAGCTTCTTTTTTCGACTAAGCACATTATCCTTTATTGTTTTTCATATTTAATAAATCGGTTCAACTAATAGATACTGATCTATAAGTTTCCATAGAAATTGAAATGTCTCATTTTTTGTGAGAAGCTTTATCGATAATAACGTTGTTTTTATAGTACATTTTTCAAGAAATAAATTGAAAATTTTCTTCGCCAAATTTAAGCCATAAAAAAGAAACAGTGTGCATTATTAACCATACAAAAAATTTGATATTCACTTTTACTACAATTATTAATTTTGAAACTGTTTGGCCAACGTCTCATTTATGAAGTCAAGAAGTACACGATGATTCATATTATGAATGCTGTACATTAAATCATTGAGTTATTAAACAGAAGATGGGGAAGAGGTGAAATAAGCATGTTCTTAAATAACTGCAGAATGACTCAATAAAAATCAGTCATTTCGCAAACTTGAAAGTGTGCAAAACCCGATGCATGTCACTGACACACCAACGGTCACCGTCGTCAATAATTATGAGTCTTGTTAATATGCAGGGGCGTAGCTAGAGAGGGGGGCAAGGGGGCATCTGTCTCCGGGCGCAGAATCCAAGCGGCGCCAAACTGATGTTACGACATTTTAGAATTAAATGTTTTCCATCTTTGGCAAGCAGTTAGGGGGGCGCGAAATCTTCAGTTGTCCCTGGGCGCTGAAAACCCTAGCTACGACTCTGTTAATATGAGGGACAAATCCATGCAACACTGCATTTTCGTGATAGAATTATACTTATAGATCTCCAAAGCATCCCAAATATACAACATCAGTACCCGTTCCACAGTACCAAGTGTAGTACTGTGTGATTGAAAGTATAGTGCGGAACTCGGCGGCATATTTTAAAAATTAGACATGCGAAGAAATTATTGTAAATGCTCAATGAGACGCAGACATGCTCGAAATACTTCTTCGCGATGTCATAGGTCTCCGTCGTCGGAGATGGTGATTTCCGCTCGTTGAAGCAACAAACTGTACAACAAGATCTCCTTCGGAGGATATTTCCAGAGCTAATGATATCGCGTTATGGAAACATTAACTGTCCAGCCTGGGTTCCTGATTTATTTCTTCCTGACTATTTACTATTGTACTATTACTACTACCTCAAATACAAAGATTATGAATTATGTTCTCGCATCATTACTGACTTAAGAAATTTAAATAACAGGATTTCAACAACAGTATGCAGCGAATATCTTAGGTGATTCTTAACATATTATGACCATTTTGCCAGCTGAATTGCCATAACGTATGTATTTAGCAATAGTGTGATTACTTTACCTGTGGAAAATTTAAACGTCATGTTATCACAGCAAAATCTAGAGTTTATTTAAAATATGTATATGACAAGAAACATATTTTCACTTATCATTGGAGTTTTTCCTCAAACCCGCCAGTGTTTAACACTCGCTTTATATAAGCTTCTAGTTTTGGAAACTCTTTCTTGCGATTAATATTTGTGGTTTTGAACTCAACGATTCAAATTTCTCTTTCCAACGTCCGAGTACTTCTTGAATAAGCACTTGTCGAAAATTATGGCCAAATCCATCAGATATTCAGCCATTTTATTATCTAGAACGATGCTCATGTACGCGTCATGTAGAGATCAGTATTACATCTACAAGGAAGGAGGAAAAACACACATACCGCTAAACATTTAACGGGAATCCAAGACACATTCTTTGATTTTAGTCTGCTAATTAGTCTCTCTTGGGCAACATCCCATTCAGGGGGGCACTGATGCAATATAATTTTTTCTGTCATTTCAAAAAAATCATACTTTTTTAAGTAAGTTTAGTTTATCAGAATTCTGATACATTATCTTTCCTGCAAGCAAATAAAATCCAGTTTTTTATGCAACTGATATCTAAGTGATTCAATCGATTTTTTTCCTTATATTTGTAGGCGGGTTGGATATCGTGGAATATGTTTGTCAACTGCTTGCACCTGGGCCTCACCCTAGTGATGTACGAAGGCGATCCTTTTACTTATTCTAAAACACGATTCTGGGATGTGATTGACAAATTTGGAATCAACTCCTGCTACATATGGAGTAGCACTGTAGATGAAATGGAAAAGCAAGGACAACTACCTAGTACTTTGTTTCTTGTTTTTTGTGAATTATTTTACAACTGTTTACATTTTTAAACAGGAAGCCTCAACAGTGAATCACACTGCGCGCTGATTAGAATGTAAGATGTTTAGTGAAAAGATTTCTAAAGCTGAGTCTGAAATATTGATAATTATGGCTAAAAATGAACATTTTTCAGATCTTTTCCTATGTCTTAATACATGAAGGGCTATTCTAGTGTAATATGTACCATTTGATAATCCGTAGATATGTACATCAATCAGTATAGTACAACCGACAGCAGCTCAAGATCGAAAGGATTTTATTAGTAAATTAAGTTTTCGATTTACTAATAAAATCCTTTCGATCTTGAGCTGCTGTCGGTTGTGCAAAATGGAAAGCCGATAAATATGAAAAGGACGATGATGATGCGTTTGTTGTTGCTACGGTAATATTTTCTATATTGGTTGTGTCTCTTGTTAGCAGCACCAAATTGTCCTCATATGTGTTTGATATTTAAGCTTCAAATGTTTTTAAAGTAGTGGCCTCTTTTTCTTGTGTTTGCAGTAACTGTCGTGGAAGAAAGTGCTGGTTTTGAAAATACAGGTCACATATCCGTGTTGGTTGTGCATTAGCACTGAAGGCGTAATGAGTACGTTTCCTCAAGCACAGAATTAAAGAATCATAAGTCAAAAATTTAACTACGAAATGTTTATTTAATAAAATAGGATAATTCTGCTTAACTTAAGCATAACAATAAAGTAATAATGTTCACGGACATTAAAACACTGAAGTATTGAAAAGAATAACTTACAGAGAATCATCATCAGTCCTAAATCACCAGGCTTACCTATTTTAGGCAATAAGAAAAATAAACAGGAACGTCAAAAGGACTGGAATCGTACCTGAAAGAGAAGAAAGTACTACTGGATTAGACCTTTGGCCAGGTACAAGTAGCTAGGATGAAAATCAAATATACTGCATTGCACACGAGCTTTACTTTCTCTCGCCAATATATACCTTGGCGCACGTTCGTTTCGTATGCCTTTCGAGTTTCATTATGCAAAATACCTAAATTTATGCTAATAATCCGTGAGTTTTGAGTAATATCCAGGGATGATCCCTTGATATTGAAAGTGGAACTGTTGATCATTATACGTTTAAAATATGTAAACTTCTTTTTGTTACACTTTTGAAATCTATAATAATTGTTTTCCACTTGATATGACTTATATTCTTTGATAATAGAGTCTAATCGTTAAGGAGGTTGTATAAATATTTCTGCTTCAACGTACAGGGTGTTTATAAAGTCGCGGACCCATTTTGATGCTTAATAACTCATAAAATAATAAATATATAGGTTAAAATCAATAACATAAATGGTTAGATAGACTCAAAAAGTTTCATGACCCTTGTCAATGAACTTCCCCTTCGTCGCACGGATAATATCAAGTCGATATTCAATTTCACGCCAGGTACCGGCAAGCATGTCGGCATCCACAAAGGCTATTGCGGTTGTAATTCTGGTTTTTAGGTCATCAATGTTCGACACCCTCCTACTGTAAACTTTGTCCTTTATAAATTCCCAAAGGAAAAAGTCCAGCGGCGTTATATCAGGTGATCTGGTTGGCCGAGGAATTGGACCTCCTCGCCCAATCCATCTTCCTGTAAAATAGTCATTCAAAGAACTACGAACGAAGGTACCCCAATGAGGTGGTGCACCATCTTGTGGCAAAAAGACATGTGGCTGAACCTCTTCTAGTTGTGGAAATACGAAGTTTTCCAACATGTATAATTATACGACTGATGAGACCGTCTTTTCTGTAAAAAAGAAAGGCCCAATGACTCGGTCGTGCATTAGTCCACATCACACATTAACCTTTGGGGAATCCCTTTGTGGGGGTTTTCATATCCCCATATGCGCACCATTATGGCGATTAACAATGCCAGAAAGATGCTTCGTCGGAGACCATTATGCGCTTCAGAAATTCAGCATCATCTTCTATCCTCCTTAGCATATCTGTTGCAAAGGCCATCCTCCTAGGCCTATCGTCAGATTCCAAAACTTGAACAATTTGAACTTTGTATGCATGCAGTCTTAATTTTTTCTTAATAACCTTGTACACCGTCGAAATTGCCATATCCAATTATCTTGCCGCTGATCTCACAGATCTTCTAGGATTGTTTAAAAATGTCTCTCTGACACGCTCAAACATCAAAATTACTTGTGCAGGGACGTTCAGAACGTTTCTTATCTGCGATACTTCCAGTTTCTAGAAAATTCTTTTTCCACCGCAAGATGCTGCTTTTGGATGCAGGGTCTTTTTGGTGAATTCTTCTGAAATTTCTCTGTGTTCGCATTATGGATTTCGTTTCTTTGAAACCACCATAAAAGCTGTGCTTTCTCTTGTGGTGTATGCATTCTCCTTAATATCAGGTCGAATAAAACATCACATGCAAAAGTAACTAGAACAAACACATCAAAAGTAAACATAATATTGCAATAGTTGCCGAAAATAAAAGAGAGAAAAATGCAATTAATAAGGTGACGATATTTAGAAAAGTACAGATATTTAGACTGGAAATGAAATTATCTGAAATTAACCACACGCGCAGACGATATTTACAAAAGTAAAGATATTCAAACCTGAAAAGGAAAATATATAAGTTATTCCATCAATAAATGCCATAAGTTTGTATATATCTTCATTATTTTATGAGTTATTAAACATCAAAATGGGTCCGGGACTTTATAAACACCCTCTATATTGTTTTGTTCGCATTTGAAATATAAGTCCTTTATATGTCTACGCACTTCTGAACGATATCTTTCCTACTTCTGTTCGATACAGAAATAAAAGAATTCCTTCTAAAACTTAAACTACAGAAACACATAAATTCTTCGCATACATTTATATACATTTTCTTAGTTCTTTCTGCTTTCCTTCTACGATTATGAATTATTACCCTTTTGATAATTTGTTTATGATCCGTTAAACAAATATTCATTTCTAATGCCTGTCTTTTTTATAAATTCTGCCCATTTTTCACGCACGTTCTTGTAAGTTCTTGTAAGTTATAATATAGCACGTTCTTGTAAGTTGCCGCATATTTATATTACAGTGCAAAATCCCAGCGAAATGGAATTTCCTTGTGAGCTAGAATACTAAAAGAACTGCGTAGCGACTTTTCGATAAGTTCTTGTAAGTAGCAGTCCAGAGAAGAGTTAAATTTACCCTTCAGTCTAACTCAAAATGGCCATCGAACAGATTGCCCATTATCGAACTTACAATAAGCCTACACTTGGGTTTTAACTCAAGATAGAAAATATAAAACTAATCTAATACTAACTAAAATACACCAACCGATGCTGCACAGAAGTAACTAACAGAGTTGGCCCTTATTTAAGATCACCGGCGTATACTAGCAGGCTCGAAATACTAATATGGCTCTATAAAGAGTAACCTTAGATTAGAGGCAACGTGGCCGAAAAGCAGAACACGCTCTCCTACGCTCTTCTACTGAAGTGACCTAGACTTTAGCATAAATACTCGTTTCTACATCATTAGCGAAATCGTAATCCTAAAAACTTATTCTGGCAGGAAGACATAGGAGAGAAATTAAAGTTTAACACTTGTTTCGAAATAAAAATAACCATTAGAAAATTAAAACCGACAACAGTACTGTCAACTATTTCACCCGGTGTTTTCCCATCCCATCTATCAAAAATAAATTTTGGTTGTTTAAAAGTGATGATTGAAATGAAAATGGGAATTTAAAAATATTTTTATCGCAAACGTATTTTATTTTTCATGTAATTTAAATGCAACTGAAAAGTTTGAAAGAGTAGTTTAAAACTCTTTTAATCCAAAATGCATTCAAACGTGTTGAAAATGGTGTGAATAATTTTTTTAATGAAAACAAGTTTTACGCTTAATGATGTTTATTAAGCATTATGTTTTAGCCTCCAGCCATAGTTTAAAGAGCCTGAGGCAAATATTTCCTATGGGAAGTCCAGCAAAACCTAATAGTTTTGATTTTCTGGCCGAAAAAATAAAGCCTGGCCTGTTCTGCAGTCCTGCTTACGGTAAGTCTCATAGTAAACATTAAATAGTTTGCATATGTGTTTAGAAAATGAAATATTTCCGTTTCAATTACTGAAATAAAATTAAATCATGGTTTTTATCTGAGAAAAATTGTTCAGTCACCTCAAAATAAAATTTTGAATCTCAGAATTTCATACAGGACGAATGACGGTTTTATTTTGGAGCATTTATTGTTATTGCTATTTTCGTAGCTTGTTATTGTGTTATACATAAAAACAGAGCATGTTTAGAGAAGCGCGGATGAGTTCTGCCTTCGCGCTGGAAAGAATGCATGAAGGCAAAAGTATTTAGAGAACAATGTAGATATTATTAAAATAAAAGACTAATTTTTTTTTTCGTTGAATGTACTAAAGAAACAGCTGTGTTATTGCACTATGTTTCTCTAGAATTCTACATAAAAAAATACTTTATCTTTATTGAAACTAAACACAGCAGCTTCAATAAAGCTGCTGTGTTTAGTTTCAATAACAAAACACAGCAGCTTTATTGAAGCTGCTGTGTTTTGTTAGAATAATTTTACTGCAAAATGATGGTTCAGTGATTATTCGTCATGCACAGAAAAGCTGATTTATGAAAAAGCATCTTCCAAACTGCCATTGATGTCAATCTATCATGTTACAAGATATATATCTCAATTATTAAGACTCTTTTAAAACTGATAATTGTTCTTGTAATTTAAACAATAACGGCAGAAAAAAAAACATTTTTTCAGCTTTAAGTGAATAAAGTCTTATTAGTGATTAAAAAATACCTGAATCTCCATAAAATAAACTTGCTTTCCCGTTCTTCGGAACATCCGTGCAAGTGATGGAGAAATTCTTTATACATCTGCTAATGTGAGGGTGAACTTAGCTTTACGGAATAAAACGATTTACATAATTTGATACATTTACAAAAATTGATACAAAATTAGTTTGAAAGTATAACTTTTAACTCATATAATATAATTTAAAGTCTTATTGCAGTAAAACTACTGTTTATAATTTTCATTTTTTCAATTTTTTCCCTATTTCAGTAATTTTGTAAATTAAATCATTTCGTACTTTTGCAACTAATTTTACAAAGTTAATTAAGAATGAAACTTATGCTAATATATATTTAGCTATTTGAGTAATATAATTACTATCACAATTTCTTGTAAGCATACAGGGAGTAAATTTTAGGTATCACACGTAATAAATACGTAAAGGTAATTTTTAAGTTGAGAAAATAAATCAAATTAATAGACCGAGGGTTGGGTAAATAGTAATTCAAGTAACTTTCTTTGTATTTCCTTCTTATTTGTGGTCTTTTCTCCACTGCCCAACTTCCGTGACGTTTTACAAACAATGATTGAGGTAGCACCACGAATTCAAATATGGTTTGTTTTGAAGAAAGATCCGGCAAACAAACGCTTTGTAACTCTTGGTAGTGTAGTATTTTGTCATTATTATTTTCCTTCTTTTTTCATTCCTTTTTTCCTCCCTTTTTTCGTTGGCTTACTTTGGAAATTAATGGAGTGAACGTCTTTTCTCCTTCGAAGCATCTATTTGAAGACGGTGATCCAATTCTGGGAAAAAAAAAAAAAAAAAAAAAAAAAAAAATCAGAGTGTCAAAAAAAAAAAAAAAAAAAAAAAAAAAAAAAAAAAAAAAAACTGAACGGTTTCAGATTTTAAATTACGTCCAAAGAGGTATTTTTAACGTTTTATTTGTTACCTTTATTTATTAAATATCCTGTTCTTTGCACTTAAACCATAAAAATCATTTCAATATCAATGTCGCAAAATAATTTTAAAATCAGCATATCTTTAGAATTTCCGATACATAGTTCCGCGCGCTGGAGTTAAAAATATTTTTCCCGTACCGTGTTGCCATTGCTCGCTTTTAAATCGTTGAGTTTCTTACTCAAAAATTCGTTTTACAAAATATGAAATCGATAATAAAACAAATTCCAAATTTCAAATTTAGTCTTTCCCATGCCCATATTCGTAGGAGGATTACATCATTCAAAATTCGATGGCTCTATGTACTGTTGTTTTATCACAATGCGGGAAATATACATACGTTTATGCAGATTTTTCGTTATTTAATTTCTTCAAATATAATGCAGGTCTCTAACATTTGGTGGCAACAGTTTGAAAAGTGATTCGCCGTTCATAGGGATTCAACGCAAAATCGCAAAACGAAAACAATAGTCCTTCAAAGACAAAGCCCCTTTGAACTAAAATAAAACTGACTTCATCTTTCATAACCTGACAAAAATTTTATAACAAAATACAAATTCGCACCTACCTGAAAAAAAGTAGAAATGCTAGAATCAATCAATAATGTAATATTTTTCTACTGGAAATGTATGGCAGTAGTTCGCGGTACGAGAAGAAAAAAATAAAATTTGTATTAATAAACGCTCACTAACTATATAGAGCCTGTCTCTTTTGTTCCGCCTAAACTAGAATAAACCCTATAATGACCTGGCGAATTCTCGCATAGGCATGAATAAAACTACTGACTCAGACGAAGGGTAAAAATAACCCTTTATCAATTCAAAATAGTTAACAGAAAGGCACGGTCTTCGTGCGTTACAAAAGCACCGTCAACTTGCGGTGGAAACTAAACGTAGAATGTAATATAAGTGAAACCTGAAAATAAATAGTGCAAGATACCACTTAAGTTACGCCTAAGAGGTAGACTTCAGGAACCTAGCCGGCGTGAGGCTAAGTCTGATTAGGCCAAAAGGCTTACTAGCGTAACAGGGAAATAACAACGAAACGTGCGCTTGGCTAGCGAAACACACTTTAAAAAACTCAGATATTCACCCGTTTAAATAAGCACTTCACTTAACTTTAAATTTACGTCCTGGCGAGAGAATGTGAGGGGAAGTCTAGAACAGGTATCAAACTTAAAATAAATTTGTTATGCAAAATAAGGAAAAACCCTACAAAACAACTAAATTTTACAAAGACATCAAACGAACAGAAAACTTCTGGAAAATTTGCTAAGAAATCACTATTTTACTCTGCGTATTTAAGAATCTAAGGTACTGTGACGTCGTGAATGTGCTAGTAGTAAAGAACGTAGCACAAGTGGTACATAAATTCCTTTATTCTCAACACCATCAAAAAAAGCACAGATACAAAATTCAAGCAGCTTACATTTAGAAAACATTAACAGATACCTGAGTTGGTGACACGATCAGTGACACTGGCCATAATGGCACTCGTCACCCCTGGACGAATAATTAATGTCCACACCTTCGTTCGCCGGGCGAGCTTCACATCTCTCTCTGCCATTCCACGTCGAAAACACTGCTATTCTAGTCGCGCAGGCACAGTACTCTGTAACGCCGTTGCCATCTAGAGTTCATTATAGACCAATGTATTTACAGAAGAAACAATTCATGTGTGGTTGCTTTCATACTGGATCTCTTATATCAATGTTGTACATACATGACTTCAGGTACTCTTTTATTAGATTGGGAGTGATAATTGGTAAGGAATCTCATAATGCATTATGTTCCAGGATATCTGTAATTTTAATAACCATTTGCAGTATTTTCGAATAAAAAAAGAGAAAAAATTAAATGTACAAGTATTTATGATGAAACTGGCAGACATAACAGCAATAAAAATTTCCATAAGAATACTGCTAAAAACATTTTATGCATGTCTGTGCTATTTTTATAAATATACGTTATAAATTCTTGAAATACAATTTATTTAAAAGTTTATTCAATTTCTGATCACCTAAATATGTCTACACATCGTTACATACAGTAATACTGGGCTAGGGCGCTATGTTCTTTAGGTTAGGTGTACTATGTTATATGCATAAAACCTTTCCAATTCGTTGTTTGTACATTGCAGGATAAACCTGTTGTACATAGATGTGAAACTTTCAATTTAGTGCGTAACAAATACGCACATACAATGAATTTATTATGACTTAAAGCCATATTAAATGCAGAAACCACCCGTATCTTACTCATATTAAATGTGGAAATTTATTTGGCATACATTCTTTATTTTTCAAGTCATTTTATCAAAAATTTCTCTCTTACAAAATATCTAAATTAGTTTAATACATTTTCTGACTTTTTCAGGACAGACAGAACTTTTTGGTCTTTGCAGTGGTCTAGATCGTAATCTTCCTGTTTACAGAGGTGAAATTCAAAACTTTTCGCTTGGGATAGATGTTCATTGCTTGGATGACAAAGGTACAAAGCCTACTTTTGCACGTAATTCGAGATTTATATTATACATACAAATAGTATGTCTTCTCCAATCTGCATTCTTATTCTATTCCAACAGGCAAATCTGCAGTTGGTGTGAGAGGTGATTTAGTAGTGGCCAATCCTTATCCTGCATTACCCATTAAAATTCTTGGAGATAAAAATAAACAGAAGATGAAAGAAATGTATTTTTCAAGATTCCCGGGTATTATGAATGTTTGATGTTTCTCACACTAAAGCTTTATTTTGGAGATAGAAATACCACACATAATGTAGGACAATTTAACTTCTGGAATAGCCACGTAATGTCATCAAGAATTTAACTGTATCAAAAATAATTGCGTATTTGTGTTTGTAAAAGAATAGGATCGAAATTTAGAACAGAGTGAACTACAGAAACTGAAGAATTTTTAGAAATATATTCAACTAAACTGATTGATACCTTATCGGGGAAAGAAAAACACCTAAAAATTATCTAAGAAAATATTAACTACAAAATATAGTTAAATACCAATAATCTCCTTGATAAAAAAGACTTGGCATAAGTTTAGGAGCTAATTCCTCCAATTTTGTACGATGGGCACTTAGTAAGTGATCTCACATTCAAATGGCATTGGATATGGGCTTTGTGTGTGCCGCTTATCCATTGTCCTGACACTTGCGATTAATCTTTGATGCTCCAATTAAACTATACCCTATACGATTTCTTTCGTTTTCCCTTTTTGCGCAGATTAAGAAAACAGCAAAGAAGCTACACATTTTCTCTTCCCTGCATTTATTTGCTTGAGATTTTCACTTCCTTCTACAAAGTAAAGCGGAAATTTTGTCTCACGAAAAATTTCGCGTATCACATTTCAACGAAAATATCCATTCTGACTGTTCTTGAATCCATTTAGAGGGTCATTTTTTGCGCGACATTTCTACTTTTGCAAAGAATAAAGAACTCTTTTTCCGAAATAGATTGCGAAATGGATTCAAAAGGGATGTTTTTTGTGACGTCTGTACGTATGTACGTATGTAATATGCATGTATCTCATCTACCTCATAACTAATTAGCCGTAGACAGTATATATATATATATATATAGGCGTTAAATACTCACTCTAAATCATTTAACTGATAGGGATATGATAATTTATTCCTAAACCTGAGAAGGCGGTATAAGTTGGATGACTGTCAGTTGAAAGATTTGTATATAGTGTAATTACTCAATGTATATATTGTAAAAAGCTAATTGTCTTCAGACATATACTGTTACTATACTGTTACTAAAAAAAATGGGCCTATTTCCTGCCTTTAGACTGTCTACTAGCTCTTGGATAGCGAAAATGCCTTTTTCCTTTCTTAAATTCTTAATCATTGCGACACGACAATTAGCCAGAAATTAATTAATTTCCATTCACTAGTATTTTTAAAAAAATCTTAACAGACGGTCTCTCTCAGATAAGAACTCCACAAAATACATCCCTCAAGAATTCCAAGTCCCACCCACTACCATAAATTTCTTCACCCAAGTCTTGCCGACTGATATAATTCAAAGCCCCTACTGCCGCTAAGAATTTTCGGACACCCTACACTTCTGAGTCAGACACGAAGAGAACACACTGCCAACTCCCCCACTCCCCCACTAGAAAGAATGTAAGTTACTTAATACCTTTCTGGCCTTTATATCTTCATGTACATTCACTGATCTTATTTATATTATTTTCTATTTTATTTTTATATTATTTTTATATTATTTTTTATGTTCTCTTTGATTTGTTTTTGCAAAGTTTGCATTATTTATCTTTTTTATAATCTTCTATGTTTATTTCAACTTTACTTTGATTTCGATTTCATAATGACAATTTCCAATGTTTAATTTTCTACAAATAATATAGTACTCAAATACATAAAGATGATAGTGTCGGGGACGATTACTCGAGTTTTACAAGATTTCTCTACAGTAATTGATTTTTACTCCTCCAAATTGAATTGACTAAATGCTTCATGAGAATCAGTTCTTTGAGTAACAACTATTCGCGGAAATATTTGGCCTGACTAGAATTGCCGGTTGGCTTTAATTTATAACTCGAGTAAAGACGAAACACTTTCATATTTACGTATTTCTATCAATTATTGATTCATTGAACGGGAGTTGGTTTGTTCCCCTTGAAAAGTCAACTAATTTCCGATCAATGACAATAATTACATGTTTTAATTAATTTACTTTTGCAATTGTAATATTATTCTTCGTGATGATTAACTCTCCAGTCCCCGTTAAAACATTATTAACATTTTGCTTTCAAATTACTTCAAAACATCTTTCAAAATATAACTTACCAGTATGGATGCACACTTTTAAAATAATTCTACTTTAATTAAACTTAGGAGATAATATAATCAATTAATCAATACGGTTTAGGAAATAAATTATTATATATATATATATATAAGTACATATAGATATATATATATATATACAAAATTATTATATATATAATGTTGTATGATCTTAAATTCATTTAGTGCGAAATTAAGTTATTGTACTACTTGCGCAATTGCTGCAAAGTAAGTTAATAATAATTTATTTACTAAATAAAATTGATTATATTATCTCCTAAGATTAATTATAGTAGAATGATCTGAAAAGAGTGAATTCATACTTAGTAAGTTCTATTTCGAAAGTTGTTTTTAAGTAACTTGAATGTAAATTGTTAAAAATGTTTAACGGTGATTGGAATTAAATCATGAATAACAATTTTAAAAGGAATAAATTAAAAGCAAGAATTAAATGCAAGTAATCATTGACATTGATCGGAAATTAGTTGACATTTCAAGGGGAACAACCCAACTCATGAACAATAATTAAGAAATAAATACGAAGGTGTTTCGTCCTTTACTCGAGCAATAAGGCGATGCCAAACCGGCAATTCAAGTCAGCCCAAACATTTCTGTGAATAGAAGGGAACCAATACAGAGATCCAAAGAACTTATTCCGATTAAGTATTTTAGCTAATTCAATTGTGAGTGAAAAACAATTTCAGTAAAAGTGATATCGCTCGAGTAAGCATTCCCCGACACCCTCGTGTTTATGCATTTGAGTTCAATATTATTTGTAAAAATTAAACATTGTAAATTGTAATTATGAAATATAATTCAAAGTAGTTGAAATAAACATTAGAAAATTACTAAATATAAGAAAAATAATGCAATCTTTGTAAAAACAAATCAAAAAATAAAAAATATATATAATAAGAAAAGTGAATGTACATGAAGATATAAAAGCAAGAAAAAGCATTAAACGGGTGAGTATATGTGTGAAATATATACGCACCCTCTTACTCCGCTTAAACGTCCGTACCCGGCTTTTATTTTCACAATCATTGGTTACTCCCAATTACAGAAGTATTTTAAATAACGAACAGAATCCTATTTTGACAATGTCAAATTTTTAAAAAAATCGACAATAGCAAAATCTATCTTTTAATAAGTCCCCTCTTTCTTATAGTTATATTTGAGGAAGTTTTATACACATTATGAAAAAATAAAAGTATAAGAAGTTTGACTTTCATAGGAGAGAATTTGATCGAGATATATTTAACTTTAAAATTTGTAGTTTTTTATGTCATTTTCAGCTTGCCTTGCAGGATCGATAAAGTAAATTAGAACAGTTAGAGGAAATAAGTTTAAATGAAGGAAATGAATTTAAATGAAGTTCAGCAAAAAATGAGTATAATTTAATAATAGGCAGAAGTCATGGGGTGTCTACATCATATTTTTTTATTTTGGCAGAAAAATTATCAGTGTTTAGTTTGGATGCTTTTAGAGTAAACTTTTTTTGATTTCAGTAAGTTTTCGAATCATGAGGGCAGATATAAAAAAAATTAATGTTTTAATCTTTTTCTGTACTTATAATTCTCATATCATAATGGTATCTGTATAATGGGTCTAACATGCCGTATAAAACTATAAAGGCTTGTGTGTTTTGGTATCATAAATTAGCTAGACGTTCGAAGGCTGTTTAGAAAATTACTCCCAAGCCTTAAAGTACGACAAAATCAGGAAAACAGTATACAAAACTCGTTATTACTTCATATTAAAGTTCACAGATGGAACCAACTCGTACTTACAAAAGCCAACATGTTTGGCTAACTCGAAAAGGTAACTACTGACTTAAAATTAAATGAAAGGTATATTTGCCAACGGTTTTACAGGCTAATTAACGCACAGGCTGGCTCTGACTAATAAAGGTCGGCGCAAACAAACCTAATGGCAAGAAACGCTCAATGGCTCAGAAATCTAATCGCTAGGGAAATCGAGATATCAACTAGACCTTCAGACAGAACACACTCTGAATTCACTTTCCAAAACCACCCCTTAAATACTTTTACGTATTTTCTTCTTATGAACGTAGGGTACGGGTTCGCGGATTTTGGGTAAATAACGACGGCACTTGATAAAGTATCAAAAAACAATTTATTGGCCAGTATTATTCAAGACAGCTCTAAAATCACGTTTATAGTCGTCGAAGAAAAACAATAAACACTCTGACAGAATCAGCGACACAGCCGTCAGACTATCCACCTATAACGGTGAAGGCAGCTTCACGGCAGAGCACCAGAGTACAGCTCCCGACTCTGCTCGGTCGTTTTCGGAACTCTACGTACTCTCGAGACTTCCCACGCTACAACTCGCGATGCACTCGACGATACACTAGAGTACAGTTCCCAACTTGTTTCGGTCGTTCTCGGAGCTCAACGCATTCTCAGGTAAAACTCGACAATGCACTAACTCGCGATACTCTAAGAGATTCTCTCGATGCACTCGACGGCCAACTCGGCACTAGATTTCGAGACACTCGCTCACTAACTGGACTAGGCACCCACTGACTGACTATCAGCTCGATGGACTCGACACTGACTGACTGTCTATTCCATTTACCGCTGTTGTACTGGGCTTAGCCTGTGTGATATTGCAGGCTTTTTGCCAGTTGTCTTCACATAAGGCAATCTGGAAGTAAAAGGATCTAGGAAGGTCTCATAAAGACAAGATGTGATCAGTAAAAAAGAAGGTGGCTCATTGCCACTGAAGAATATTCATCGTGTGGTGGTGTAAAAATACAATTCAGTAAATATCATAAATAATCATTAAATAATAAGGGAGGATTTACATACAATCAAAAGTTATAAAAACAAATTCCAATTAACTAAAACAGGGTTCCTGAGTAATAAAAAGTCCTGAGTAATGAATCTTGATTAAATAGAACAGTATACAGTATATGCATGATTGTTGAGAAAAATTCTAAGTTAATAATCCATTTGCAAAGCCTCGTCACGGGATGTCGGAGGATCCTTGTCATTGTCTGCGGACAAGAATAATAGGAAATCACAATTTCAAAAATAAACCGATATTAAAAATAAGAAAATACAATTTTCTGCTGTATGTAAGAGTCCTATTATGCTTGTATAGAATTTTCAGAAAAAAAGTCCATGGGAATGCAAAATAGAGTCAAAATGCAAGCACAACTGACTCTCCAACTGTACCAGCAGGGTTTATATAGCTTGTGCTCGAGAACATTCTGCACTAAACCAGTAAGAATTCGTTCCAGAAGATTCTCCATCTGTCTATGGCATATCTCCAATTTTCTCGCCAATTGGGCAACTTCTCTCCAAATGTGACACCCTGCCTTCCCTTGACATTTTCTGGTAAGCCTAAACCTGCTTTGCGGGGAAGCTATCTTACCGCGGTTGGACATTTCGTAACAATACTACCTTCTTTCCACCTCATCTGAATACGAGCTCACTATATCATATCGATAGGAAAGGCTTCTTCAAAATAAAATAACTGTTAAGTAAATTAAATAAATCCCTACAAGACTAAAATAATCTTATTAACTGTGTTGTGATACATCATTCTTACATGGCTGTTGCAAAAATTTTCTGTGCTATCATTTTATATGCACCTTTCGTTTCTCTGGCAAAATACAACAAATAAAAAAAACTCATTATTTTTTTACTTAAATACACTAATTGAAGTCTTATTAAAAAAGATTTCTTTATGATTATAATTTCTTCAAGGTTATTTTGACCTGGGAGATGATGCATGGATCAATCCTGTCACTAAAGGTTTTATCGTTTACGGTAGAGGGTGAGTTTATCTTTTCATTCAAAGCTTTTATTAAATAGTAGTACAACATGCCTGTTTCTATGAAATTAAAAATACGAATGAAACTGACAGACATAGAAGATATAAAGAAAATAAAAGTGCATTTGCATTATGTCTCTAATAATCATAAGATGCCTTTATGTGTCAGATTGGACATAACTTCAGTTGGCCAACCACAGGGAGTGAATTATGTTACATACCACAACAAAGCGTTTTACAATTTCTGATTTTGTCATAGTCAAATGCAACACATTTCCTAAGCCTAACATGAACGCCAAACGACAGTGCTTCACCAGGCTGTAAAATACCTGTAAAGAATATATATATATATATATATATATATACATACATACACTGGTGTGCAAAAATTAAGGACGAAGTCGAAAAATTAGCATATCAGCTGAACGAAGAGGCAGAGCGGACAGAAAGACCGATCAGAAGATTAAGTAAGATGTACGGTAGCACATGCGCAGATATGCAGGTAGACGTAATGGGGGAGTGTCTGAGTAGTATAAAGCATGTTGTCGGTGTAAGATCAGTATTTCTGGGAAAAAGATTGCACGCCGTATAGCAGTTAAAATCACACCGAGTTGCTGCCTCAGCGAGAAATGGCGAATAATCAATCTGTTAGACGACATCTGGATGCTTTTACCCGAGCTCGAATCATTGGGAAGTTGGAGGAAGGCCGCAGTGTGACAAGTGTGGCTGCAGAGTTCGGAATGCTCACAGCATCGTTTCACGACTTTGGAGACAATTTCAAACTACAGGAACAGCTATCCGGGGGTTTAGTAGTGGTCGTCAACGAGGAACCACACCCGCAGATGACCGGTATATTGCCTTACAGGCCAGAAGAAACAGCCGGCAGACAGGGGGAGAAATCGCTAGACACACGACACGGGCGACTGGACGACCGATATCGAGTTTTACCGTGGCCAGAAGACTGCACGGTGGTGGTCTGTTTGCACGACGCCCTGTACGGTGTGTACCTCTAACGCCTGCCCATCGGAGAAGGCGTTCTCTGTGGTGCCGGAAACACCGGAATTGGAGAGACAATGAATGGGGACGAGTACTCTTTACAGATGAGAGTAGATTCAGTCTGAGTAGCGATTCTCATAGCATACTCATCTGGAGAGAGCGGCGAAGCCGCAATCATCCCTCGAACATCATTAAAAGGGACAGGTATGGAGGTGGCGGTGTTCTCGTTTGGGGAGGCATCATACTTGGTAGTCGTACAGACCTTCACATCTTCGACGCAGGTTCAGTCAACGGGACCCGTTATTGTAACGAGATTTTTCTTCCATATGTGCGTCTTTTTAGAGGCGCTATGGGTCCGCAGTTCCTTTTCATGGACGAGTAGCTGCCGAACAGCTTTTAGAGAAAGAGGATATTGAACGTATGGATTGGCCGGCACGATCTCCGGATCTCAATCCCATCGAGCATGTATGGGATTTTCTAGGCAGACGATGCCGGCTTCTAAAATCTGGCTCGTCTCACTTCACTCAGTATCTAACAGGACATGGTCCCTTCATGACTTACCTGCATCGCTTCAGACGACGCGAAAACGAGCATTGCTCATGCGGGATGGTAGGAGATCCGGACCACTATCTGTTCGCTTGCAGAGAGACCGCTAAATATCATCTTAGGCAACCAGTAGCAAACCACATCCATGCATGGGCCGAAGCTACTTCAAAAAATCGCAATGCATTGAAACGCATATGCGATTGCATAAACATTGCACGCATAATCTCAGACAGGCTGGAGTAATTCTCAGCCACCATCCTCGTCCCAGCACAGCCCCTGTATGCTCTGTACCTGTAGCGAACTAATTTTATCTTAAGTTAGCTTATTCGGCTTTTCTTATTCCCTGTATATATTTATCTTCTTGAACCTGAATTATGAACCTTGAACTATGTATTTTGCCTTATTTTATGTATTGGTTTCCACTGTTTTGCCTTTTTTTTATTTTATGCATTGTTTTACTTTCTAGTTTTTTACTTCTTATTACTTTTAGTATTTGTAACCACCTATCCATTACTCTGTAAATACACTCACGTTTGTGAAAATTGCAACACCAAGAAGGAATCGTCATAATTGAATGCAATTTAATACACAGTTGAGTGGTAGTGGTACAAATAAATGATTAAATGTTCAAAGCAAACGAACAATAACAAGAGATCAGAATCAGTATTTTGTGTGGCCACCACGCGCCGCAATAAGTGCTGCTACACGACGTGGCATGGAGTCAAACAAAGTTTGAATGTCTGACTGAGGAAGAGCATTCCATATCGTTTGTACGCGTACCCAAAGTGTCTGCAGACGCAACAGGACGAGGATCACGAGCAAGACGCCCGACCAATGACATCCCACACATGTTCAATTGGCGACATATCCGGGAACACGCAGGCCAAGGAAGAAGCTGTACCTGCTGCGCTGCAAAGAAGGATTTAACAATCCGAGCAGTATGAGGGCGGGCATTGTCCTGTTGAAATACAGTGCCTGGCAAAGCTTGAAGGAAGGGAACAGCTTCGGGCTGTAGAACTTCACGGATATACCGGTTGCTGTTCAGATTGCCACAATTCGTAGCAATTGAGATCGTCTATGATATGCTATGGCGCCCCAGACCATAACTCCGGGTGTTTCGTCCACTGTGGCGTTCGATAATGCACTCCGGAAGGTGGCGTTCACCCGGCATAGCGTCTGACACGAATGCGGCCATCATTGTACCACAATTAAAGCGGGATTCGTCAGAAACACGACATGCTGCCAATCAGCACGCCAGTCTCTATGCTGATTGGCCCATTGTAGCCGCAGGGCGGCGATGGTCGTGCGTTAGGGGGATCCTGTATAAAGGGTCCGTGCGCGCAGTCCACACTGCAACAGACGTCTACGAATTGATGAAGCACACAATGAAACACCTGTAGCTATTGACCACAGTGCTGCCAATTGTCTAGAGGAAGCTGTACGGTCGTCCGCGCCATGCGGGCCAGTGTCTATCATCGCGAGCTGACGTCACATTTCGGGGTCCACTCCCGGATTTCGAGTTGTCCGACACTCGTCCGTCCACTGCTTCCAAACGCGCATCACTGTGCTGCTGTTACGCTGCACACGAGAGGCTACTGCACGATACGACAATCCAGCTTCACGAAGGCCGATGATTCTCCCTCGTTCAAACTCTGTAAGTTGTTCAAATCTCCTCGCTCTCTTTCGTCGACGAGGCATAAGTACAGATTGAGTTAACGTTTACCACTAGCAGATAACCACCGATAACCATACACGCCTCGCTACAGCCGTCTATTTATTCGGATCCATCAGCCGTTCAGAGGGCGCTGCTCAGCATACGCATGCGCTACGGATTTGCAATTCTAATCATTTGCATATCATGCGCGCTACTTTGCATTTCCTGAAAATTTCAGCTCACTCGCGTAAGTCCTTCATGGTGTTGCAATTTTCACAAACGTGAGTGTATGTAACTGGAATTGTTCTTCACGCCCGCAATGCACCCTTCTTCCATCATGCACTATCGTCTTCGTCCAGCATTTGTTTGCACTGCCCCCAGCAGTCGTCTTGAGCACAATATGTATTTATAAGTGTGTCTTTTGTTCGAGTTATTTCCGTCAGCGGGGCTACCTGGACGATATGCTAACTACCCAGTAGACCGGCTGCCTCGCTGTCGGTGGAAAGAAAGAAAGAAGACACCTCATTCTCAGCATGGACAGACGCTGTGAAACCTGCCTAGCAGTCAGGGGAGATCATATCCTCTATTAAAGACCGGATGTTTCTTGCTGGACACCCATTACAGGGATGTTTTGGCCTTCAGTCGCATTGCGCTCCATGCTACGTTTTCAATAAATCTTCTTTTTATCCCTCTGATTTCTCTTTTAGTAAGTGTTGCTTACATTACTCATGTCCTTACGCATTGGGGATCTTACGGTATTAAATGTGTTGATTTGGAAAGCTTTTGTACAAAGTTATATTGAAAAAACCGTCTCGTCCTTAATTTTTGCACACCAGTGTATATATATATAAATAATGTTTTACTAAACTTTGAAGTTGTAAGAAAGTCAGAAATGACGTGGCGTATTTCATTATAATTCGCTATTCTACTCTCGTATACCATGATTCTGTTGGTGCAAAAGCTGAAGGCTTTGAAATCAAATATCTCCTATTATATTTCCTGAAGCAACAAAGTCTTATTTACTAGCATTATGCTATTTGTGATAATTTTGCACTAGTGTAAAGCTTCTTTGGGTGTTAATCATATTTGTAGTTCAGTAAAAATGAAAAACACGCGAGCGTGAACCTAGACTTAGGTTAGGTGCCAAATCTAAAATATTGACTTCAGTATCATCAAAGATGAGTCCCCAAAATAATGAATAAATCTAATAATAAATATAATATAATTAGATTTAGTGAATAAATCTTATTATAAATATAATATAATTAGGTTTTTTTGCCTATTATGCTTTTCAAAAAGTTTTTTTTTAAATATGCTTTATCTTTTACTGACTGGAGTGTAAACGTAATCCTATACTCAATGGAAAATCGGAACTTTCTCTTTACGAAATACTTATTGTAAGCACTGAACATATCACAATAGCTTTGTTCAGTATAGTACCTATTTATTTCAATACGCTTACTCCAGTCTATGACAAGTAAGACGAACTTATCATCCTTATTTGTGCAAGGTCAGCGATTACCCTTTGAAATGATGCACCTACACTGTAACGGAGACAACAGTGCTGTAAAGTCACTGAATACTGGCAGTTCAGCTAAGAGTTCGAATCCCAGCGAACGGGCTAGCTGCATAGATATTTTCGTGCTTTTCCCCGTGGTCCTAACGTGTACATGGACCAGTTTCCCTTAGAAAGTCGTCAACGAAGGCATCTCTCGCCTTAAGCATACAGTCCTTGAGTGCTATAATATAGTCAAATGAACCAAATCAAACCTACATTGTAGCGCTGTAATATCCCTCGAGTACGGGCTTGCGGTCTTTTTTGAGGTATAGAAGTTAGATATTTTAAAAAATGGGTGGGAAGATATATGCTTTATTGTCATACATTGTTCATAAACAAAACTATAATGTCATCATCTCTACATATAATAAAAGGAAGAGTCTGTCTGTGTGTGTCTTTCGTTCGTGCTGAGTGTAAGCTAATAGATCCAGGGCTACGAAATTTGGTACATAGTGCGTTTAGACAAGAGCCAGCGCACACTGAAGCTATTTTTTCAAAATTCGAATGAGTTTTTTTTTTTTTTCTTATTTTATGTTTTTTGATGAAATCGCATCAGACATAATGGGCATACCAGCAACAATGGCACGTAGCCATTGTTGCTGGTAACGGGAAGTTAGTTAATTTATTTATTAGAACAATTCATATTTGTAATACGAGATACTGCTTATTTCATTGTAATTTTTTATATAATACATTAACACGTACATTTTTATTGATAACACATTTTTATTGATAATACATTTTTATTTATTTATTTTAGATAAAGTTGTTCTTCAGAGTAAAGCTGTGCAGTTTTTAAATTTAATGTATGGTGTTCCCTTTGGGCATTTTTCCGGTACATTTAAAAGCCAAACAAAGGCTGGCCACATAGCGGCTAGTAATTAATTACATAACGAAATCTTGAAGAAATTGGAGAACCAAAAACTCAATTTTTGCCGACCTAAACCTGTTTTAAAATATCACTTCGGCAAACCTAACAATACACAACGTAAGAATGCTTAAGTGATGCAATCCTCCAACATTAATAAATGGATTTGCCCAACCCTGCAATGAAAAATCCCTACAGTTAATAAAAATATAGATTTAAGAGACAAATCATCGCTTTGGAACTATTTCTGAAATGTTTGCAGAAATTACAAGAAACAAATGCCTTAAAATCATTAAACTGCAGCAAATTTCGTAAAAACTATGAAACATTGGCAAAAGTTGGTACATATATGTGAGTTAACCATATTGAATGCATAATAAATGTGCATAATAAAGTTTAATCTAATGTTGGGTGTATGTTTAAAAACGAACTATAATCTATAAATTCTTCTTTCAGAATTTTAAAATGACATGCAGACTATAACAACTCCTACTTCAGTTAAAAATAGAATGAGTAATGTATGTTATTATGTAAAGAAGAATCTGTAGGTATATTCTTCGCATTGTGACAAATGGCGGCATTTAACGGAATCAGATTTTGAACACATTTAATCCTCTACTCGAGCATGTGCCCCTCGAAGCCCGAATTGCAAATTCCTTTTTCATTTATTTCATATTTTCTGCGAATTTAATAAGCTTTTGATTAACAAACTCAAGAGTTTAACAACAGTCTGTTGCCACTCAGCAAAAAGTAAGAAATTTATGTTTCAAATTTGATCAGAAAACTCCCCCAAATAGCTGTTCTAGCCGTTTATAGGCGTTGGCCACTACTAAGGTCAGAAGCTGTGGTTTCTTTATTACGGAGACACCTAATAGATGGGCCATGGTTGCCTCCTATGAGGGGACAGACAAATGCCTTCCCCGCGATTCGAACCTGGGCCCATCGGTGCGTCAGTAAAGAGCACTAACCACTTTCTGGTCTGGTCAGCTTGATCAGAAAACTTACAAATTTGAAAGAAATATGTCGCTACTACACGAAATTAAATATTTTTTTCTTCCATGCTCCAGTAAATTGCTATTCCGTAAAGCAAGAAATACTTCAAATTTTACCCGTCCTTTATTGCTTAACAAAGTTAACCGATTTAAAAGCAGTTCTTCAGCTCTATTCTTACTAATTATTAATTACTAATTATTTTAAGTGGCTAGTCATATAAAAGCATACAAGCGGCTGGTTATATAAAAAATTAACCATTTACGTTTTCGTAAATTTTATATAGCTGCCGTACAAGTGCATATAAAAAACTAATTTTCTAGTACTAAATAAGCTATTTTTTATGTATAAAAAAATTAACTTTATAACTTAAAAAATTAACAATCAGTTTAGTGAAAAAGTATTTTCATGTAGTATTAATGAAGAGAACGATTGCAAATAATAAAAAAATGAATATTTCTGATTCATTTAATAAAGGAAAGTCGGAATAAGTGATAATTTAAGAAGTACTATACCATTGTTAATTTATATATATGATATTACTACGATCTTGGATTTCCAGTAATTAATTCTTAAACTAGTAATCTAAGTAACTGTTTAAGTTAAAAGCATTTTGGGTATGAAACTGAATTCAAAGATTAAATCACAATTTTCTTTTTAAATTTTATAATTTTCTATGTTTTTATATTTAATTTTGAATGCCTTTTAACCTTCACAGATTTAAATTCATTTAATTATTATAATATTTTAATCTTTATAGTTTTAATCATTTAATTATTATAATATTTTACATTCAGTTATTTATTTATTTTGAAATTTTAAAGGGAAACTTTACATTTAGACTGCAGTTTCCAGCTCCCCAATTTTTTTTTATTTTGGATATAGATTACAGTCCATTATTTTTTTATGTAATATACTGAAATGATTTGCGTGCCTTAGAAATTACATATTAATCTCTTACGAGACAATGGAAAATTTTTATTTAAAAATTTGCAGATAACTATACATGGAACTGAATTACATTTTTTCCTTCACCTTTGGGATAAAATCGAATTTGAATTAAATGAAGTTTTATTGTGCGTTTGTTTCATGTAAACAGGGTTTTTGTCAGTAATACTATTCGTTTTTATTAGGGATGAAACAATGAATCCTAAAGGAGCCCGCTTCAACTGTGCAGAAATGTACTTCGCATGTAAGTGAAACTTACTCTATTTTATCCTTAATGATTAATCAATTAATCAATTATAATGGTATATATTTGAAGGAGATTGATTACATAAAAATTATCCAGATCATTTCTTCATTTCGTGAATCAAAATTCCGGAGTCTTCTGTTTTCTTGTTTATACAATTAAAAATTCAGCTGTAATTTATACTCATTATCGTCTTTCCTTTTGCTCACCAGAAAAATAAATTAGTTAGACGGTATTTACGCTGAAGTTTTTGTCTCTTAAGGCTGGTATCACACATCTATTTATTTCAGACGAACAGCTGTTTCAAACAATTTTTCTACTTGCTCTGCCCCTGAAAGAAAGACACACAATGTTTTCCTTTCTTTCGCAAAAAATTGTAAGTTGTTCGTTTTCGACAACAAATCAGCTTCCAACATTAGTGTCACGTGATTGTTGGTCGAATTCCGAAAGTCCGAGACTCGGTCACCGTGGTGGTGGGGGGTAGCGATATACGTAAAGAACTCTCTCCAATCATGCATGATTAAGCAGTATAGAAATAATGGACAAGAGTATGTCACTGTCTCTGTGTTTCTTCAAGGTTATGGAAACACTTATTTCACAGCCTTCCATAACCCACCCAGATACTCTTTAGAAGCTGAATTATTAAAGGACATCTTATTCACAAATCTTCCTGTTATATTAGCAGGTTATTTTAATGCGAAACGTGACGAATAGAACTGTCGTAAAAACAAACCCAAATGGAGAACAACTCTTTGAATTTATAAACAACGAACCTGTTTATTTCTTTGCGCCTGAGGAATACACTTATCTTGCACACGACCCGAACAGAGGGGGACATTCTTGATCTACTACTTACCTCCGCTTCAATTCCAGTATATCTTGAAGTTGTTAATGATCTAAGCTCGGATCATTTACCTGTAATGGCCACACTTGGAATCCTAAAAGACAAAATGACGCAGGAGAAAAAGATTACAGACTGGAAGCAGTATAATCTGATCTTAAGTAATAGTACCTTCCTGAACACAGCTTTAAGAACCAAGCAGGACATAGACTTAGCTGTGCACCTGTTTACTAACAGTATCATTAATGCAGTCAATACTGCCACCAAGAACATTCCCATTAACAGACATCTGGAAGACTCCCCCCCCACATCAAAGATAAAATCAGAGAAAGAAATAGATTAAGGAAAGCCTGAATGAATCGAACATGGAACCCGAGTACTAAAACGGAAATTAATAGACTGAATCGTGACATCAAGCAATCAATTCATCAGCTCAGAAATGACCTTTGGGATGAAAAAATCATGAATTTTAATGAACCAGACAATGCGTTCTGGTCATTTGTCAGAAATATCTAAAAGGAAAAGCTGCTGTAGCGAACAAACCACTTCATTTCAATAATAGCGTGGCTCTCACTAATAAAGAAAAAGCAAACGCCTTTGCAGAACATTTTGAAAATCAGTTTAAACCGAATGAGCGTCCTTGTGACATAGAATTCGCTTATGATGTAAGATACTGCATTAATGACTGGTTTACCTCACAGGAGGACTTAGAAGACAATCTGGAACTCACCTCTCCACATGAAATCCAAGAAATCATAAGGAAACTAAAAAACAGGAAGGCACCGGGCTATGATGCAATAACCAACCTAGCGATCAAGAACTTACCGAAAAATTGTATCGCAAGGTATGCCAGTATTTTAAATGCTTGCTTAACTATCAGATACTTTCCGCTTGCCTGGAAAAGAGCCAAAATGATTGTCTTACCTAAAGCCGGCAAGGTTACCACTCGCCCAGAAGGATTTAGACCTATCAGTTTGCTTCCCGTTTTGGGGAAAATTTTTGAACGCATCATTTATCATAGAATCCATCCATACTTAGAGAAACTACCAGAAGAACAGTTTGGTTTCCGAAAAACGCTTTCCACCACGAAACAATTGGTCAGACTTTCTGAGTTCATCGGCAGTGCGTTACATAACAGACAAAATGTGGCTTTACTCATGCTAGACGTGGCCAAAGCCTTTTGACCGCGTCTGGCATGAGGGTCTAATTTTCAAGCTCCGTTCCCTTGGCTTCACCAAAACTTTAACGTGTCTCATTTACTCATTCCTGAAAGACAGAAGTTTTCATGTTTCTATTGGAAATGAGATTTCTGAAGTCAAAAGAATTCACGCCGGCGTCCCGCAAGGGTCAATTTTAGGTCCGATCTTATATTCTTTCTTTGTGACTGACTTCCCTAAAACAGGCTTTAACTACAATTACTTCATTGGCTGTTATGCAGATGATACGGTCGCTTGCTGTAAAATCTATGTGTCCTAATCAAGCTGTCAGGAAACTTCAACAAGTCATGCCGCAAAGAATTTTGGTGTACCAAATGGCGTATTTCAATTAACGCAGATAAATCCAAGCTGCTCATTATCCGAAAGAAGAACTCTGCCACTGAAATCAACGAAAAGCTTAAGCTATTTGACACAGAAGTTCCTAGAGTACGCAAGGCGAATTACCTTGGCGTTATTATTAATGATCAATTTTCCTGGAAGGATCACCTGACTCATGTCAGGGGAAAAACACTAGGAGTCATTCAGAGTCTTAACCCACTTATTAACGAGCACTCTAAACTGGACTTAAGAAGAAAACGGCACTTATACATCTCTGTTATACGGCCAATCTTCACGTATGCTTCCCCTGCGTGGGCATCAGTTAGAGACAGGGACATATCTAAATTACAAATTACACAGAACAAGTTGCTGCGCACCTTCACGAATGCGCATTATTTCGTATCTAATAGGACTTTACACAAGGATTTGAAAATTGAAACTGTCATAGAGCATCTTCATCGCTTAAACTCCAGCTTTTTCCAGAAAGCAGTTACATGCCCTCACATGACAAAATTACATGTATTTGAACTACATTCCACTACCGGAAGATAAAGAGTTACGACCGCTGGCAGCCCACCTAGCCAGAGATCTGAACTTTCCTACATAAAGTAGAACATATTCCTGTATATAGTTGTATATATTGTTTATAGCTTTTATGAATACTTTTCTCATTATTTCATCAAAATTTCTATATGATATCTGATCTTGACCAAACTGCATTTTTGTCACTGTAACTCTATATCTGCAAATGTATGCTTTTGAGAGTTTGTATTCCTACAAACTCGTTCTGTCATGTAGTATATTCTCACAGTAGCTTATCATAAAAACTCATGATTGCTTTACCTTGTACTGCTCCGCCTGCGAGGCGTCTTCTTGTCTGGCCTAATTCCTAGGCTTGCGGCATCTTGCTTGCCCCCCTTCTGCCTCATCTCATTCTCTTAACTCCTACCACGTTAGATTTCCTACCGTCATGTGCCTACTGGCTCTCCTCATGAGCTGGAAACAGCGCGCTTCGCACGCTACTCCAGCCATACTTGTTCGGATCGGATCGATCGATGCATTCATTTCTATGGGACGAAAGACGCCTGCTCTGCTTGGTCACATAAAATTTAAGAAAAAATGGTTATCCACTGCAGAGCCTATGAACGTAAAAAAAGTTTTGTAAAAGGAGGACCTGTAACCTTTCATAACTAAGTTAAAACTGCATGATTTATTATTTTATTTCCAGTTTTTTTGTCATTTTACTATCTCTGTTGAAATGGTTGGAAAGTTTCAGCCATATTGTATAAGAAAATTGCCGCTATATATGACATTTTCAGCATGTATTAATAGCATCAAAATGTAATAAATACTGTGACATAATTTACTGGAATCACCTTTTATAAATAATTGAATTTTATGTTCTTTTTCCGTATACACCGTTGAATTAGAAAGCTGCGCCAATTGGCGCTAACCTTTTTTCGCCAAGTCGTACGCGTTTTGGTTTCGTAAACAAGTACTGCCTGCGATAAAAAAAAAAATTGCTATTATTATTAAATTATTGAGATAAGATTGTGCGATATGTTTACTTAGTTAAAAAGAAAGCTAATTCAGAATCTATAAATGAGCTGAAAATTTGTTTACTAGTGTATCTTAGCTAATAATGCATGAATAAGTCCCAAAATTTTTTCATTTAAGCTAATGCATAAGAATGATCTGGTAAGCAGGAATAAAATGGCAGTGAATTCGAACTTACTAAACGTTATAAGTATAAGGAATAAAATGGTATTAACTCGTAATGCCAACAGATAGCCTATACTTAAAAGTGCCACCTATTTATAACTTAATCACCTCAATATTTGATTGCAGAGTTTTTGCTTTCATAGTAATATTTGTTTAATTTAAGATTTTTTAAAAACCTTTTCCTTTAAAACTATTTTTTAGCTACATAAATATCTCATAACTATAGAATTTTCTTTAATTTATAGTGAGGATTAAGTGTGTATTAAGATTTTTAGTAGGAGTTAAATTTTTAAAAAACTCCTTTAATTTTTAAACGTTATTCAAAATTAAAGTTTCCATCTCAATTTTTTATTATTTATTTAAAATTTTCTTCCTAAAATTATTTAACCTAAACATCTTAAACAATGGCTCAAATAATTTAAAGCGATTATTAAAAATATAGATAAAATATTCAGGGAAAGTGGGTAAAGTTATATCTAAAAATAATTGTAAAAAATAGAATAACCTAATTCGAGGACGTTGTCTGCCGTCTGCCAGCAGACGAAAATAAAAAAACACTACCTGCCATATCAAAAGCGAGCCAAACTGGCGATGAACAACCTAAACTATCACTCGCCAAGAGCGTCAAGACCATAAGTCACGTGGTATATGTTGGAGACATCCTAGCAGACGAATTCTCTGTGTGTGAGCCGTCTACCTGTTATATGAAGTCGTTGGCTAAAGCAGAGAAAAAAAATGTTCTAAAAAGTTGTTCTTTTGAAATGTTTTGAATGTGGATACGATCGAGCATATTTCTGCCTCTCGAAGCAGTGTTACTTTAATTCTACCATTTCTAAGTTTATAATTATTCAGCTTTGTGTTGTTTTTTGCCGATATTTAAATTGATACGCCGGTTATAGTTTTCTGAGCCAGCATAGATTTAAATATAATCATGTAGTCTTTGACTATTAGCGTAAGTTTTAATTTTTGGAATTGAACTATTATTTCAGTAGCATCGCCACAAGTTGTGGTTAATTTTGTGTTCTCAGGAGAAAGTGCATTTATGTTCAAAGTTTGTTTTTAAATAAATGGATTATTTTAAAAGCTTTCCTAGACTTTGTATTTAATTTCAGACAGCGATAATTCGCTCTACATCTATTAAGAGTTTGGAAATAGTTCATGCTCTCAAACAAACTCTAGACCTTTCTCTTTTGTTCAATCGAACAGAATGGAAATGGGGGAATTAATTTTCCTCTTTAATTAACTACTTATATATCCCGGCTATACTCAAATGTGCAGCCAACGAAGAAAGAGTAGTGGCTAAATTGTAAGGCACGGTTTCTGAATATAAATTGGGTTGATTTTGTATTACTTCAGATATAAGTACAGGTTAATAAATGAGGGTCAGTATTTGGTACAACTACTCTTAGATACGATAATAAATTCTTGCAAATGTTTCGTTTGTGTAGCTATGTCATTGTTTTAAATCGGTAGCTTGGCTCAGACACCAACTTTCTTGAGTTCTGTCTTTTTCTGACTGGTTTGTTGTTATTTGTTGTTACTGATCCTAATTGGTTAGCCATTGGGCTAGACCAGCTACATAAGTCCAAAAGTCGTCAAAATTTCCAATACGAAGTTAGGTCTTTTCAATAGATCCCCTTTTACAAGTCCCAAACAGATGAGAAGATGTCCAGAAGTGAAATGATCAACATTACATTTCCTACAGATGGAGTAAATTTTATTTCCCTGGTCAAATTTAAGGCATTTCAGGTGTCCGTTTAAAAGCCTCGTCAGAGCAGTTTGCTGCGTAAGATTACCCCCCAAAACAACAGCACTTACCGGCTAGCTGCCAAGTACTGGTTTCACTTCACATAATATAGTATCTGGGGACACATTTGAAGTCTCCAAATTAAAAACTCCTCTTGGATATCTGGCTCTTCAAACAGGTTTCTAATACCACTTATCTGAAAGTGTTGTGCCATACCTAGTATGGTTTAAGATATACAGCAGCATCGACTTCATTGTATTGGGTCCGGGGGCACAGATTGAGGTCCAGGACCATCTGCACACATCACAGAGAAGGATGAATCCCCGTTTAGGAATGAGCTTACAGAGCTATAACCAGTGTTCTCTCTAATTTTTAACTTTATTTTGTGTGCAACTTTATTTTGACCTAGGCAACTTTTTTTAACTACTGTGCGGCTTTTATTTTTTTACTCTTACTTTTATATTTAAATTAATTCTATTTGAATAACATTTAATATTTTCTATAACACATATATTTAATAAATGAACCTATTAATAATTTTAAAAATGATACGTTAATATATGTGTAAGCATAAACTAAAGATTTATTAAAATATAGCTTAAGTATCATAGTAGTATTATTCAGTATTATAAAAAAATGCTAGTTTTGTACAAATGAGTATTAAATCACCTATCTTTAAAATTTAACCATTCAAATTACATGCGATCCAAATTTATACTAATTCTACAATGTAAATAGCATTATGCTCAAATTAACATGTCTAAGTGATCTTCTTTCAAACAATTTGTTTGTTTATATTTTGTTGAATTCATTAATTAGAATTCTTTTCACAGTCTTACTAGACACGGAATATGTTCTGCCAGTGTCCAGTTCGGAAAACTGTTCAATATAAATTCATCATACTGTTGTAGCGCAGCTGTTTTATCTGTTAATACTTACTGCATTTTAAACATAATTTTCCAACTAGCTCCGTGCCATAATTGAAATTACATGCACTTATTGTACTCAAATCAAACACTGTCTATTTATGTACTTCATTTTCAAGAAATCTTTCTTCTAAATTAGAACAAAGTAAATTTTAAAAGATTCGCATAAAATTATATAATTAACAAAAGTTAGCATAAAGAGAGACTGCACCAGGCGATAAGATGTCTGGTGCAGATCCTATTCAATTCCATAATTTCTTCAAAGAAACAGAAGGTCCGGATTTCTTCACCAATATAGCTGCAAGTGGCTTGCTTAGCTATGAAAAGTTTATCAAGATTCTTGGAACTCGAACATGACAAAGAAAATGAATCGTCTATCTTTTCCAAGTGATAAGGAGTGGTTGAGTATTATCCTTTTTCACGGCTTTAGCTAAGCACTGTAATAGCCTTAATAATAGGAGCGAGAGCAACGAGGAAAAAAAAAAAAAATTCTTCCGCACATACATACTGACGTTAAAGCATTCAGATTGAAGTAGCTTTTGTTTGAAACACCGATATAACAGAGTTTTTTTTACGACATTTCTAGTACTGAAGAATGAAGGACTGAGTGACAGGCAAAACTCCCATTTCTAACAAAATTTGCACCTGAAGGAATTTCATATTTAAAAAGAAAATTTACAGATCGTTTTGTCGATTTCAATACAGAGTAGCTAATTTCTGGTAAAATGTTTTAGACGATTTTGCTGTTTGAAAAAAAGAGACCACTTCCAGGTTCCCTCGAAAATCACTGAGCTTTAAGTTAACGATTATGAAAATTTATATCTTACTTAATTTTAACAAGACATCTTTCTATTTAATCTATTAAATGTGATTCTAATACATTATCATATTTTTTTATTTATTTATTGCGTTGTCTATTTTTTAATGTTTAATATTTTGCTCTCCAGTGGATGGATTTCCCGGGATAGTGGATTGCGTGTGCGTGTCCCACTACAATCAAAATCTGGACGAGAGGGTCGTCCTATTTGTGAAGATGGAAGAAGGCCACGTACTCACGGACCAGGTGAAAGAGGATATTAAAAAAACAGTTTCAGAAAATATGTCCTACGAACATGTGCCAGATGTTATCATGCAAGTGCCCGATATACCAGTAAGTTACAGTTACTGACGTCTGAGAAGCGAAATCAGTCAAACAAAACCAGTAAAACACGAATCATTGGCAGCTAATTCAATTCCAGATAGCATTTCTGCTTCAAATGCATTTTAATGCTAATTTTTGCTGTTTTATTCCTTGTTTTTTTCCCGTCGTCTGAGAAGCGAAATCAGTCAAACAAAACCAGTAAAACACGAATCATTGGCAGCTAATTCAATTCCAGATAGCATTTCTGCTTCAAATGCATTTTAATGCTAATTTTTGCTGTTTTATTCCTTGTTTTTTTCCCTTCAGTTTGATGCCCCATTTCAAAAACTATTGATTTCAAACTCCTAACGTCACCCACGCCTTAAAATTACCAATACTTGTACCCTATATGCAATTAATTATTTTAAATAGTTTATCATTTTTTTATAATTCAGCAGATTTTTTTAACTTTAAGTAAATACGGATAATAAGCATCAAGTTTAATAAGTAATAGGTTTTGAGCAAATAGCTTAATTTTGGTAATGAATGTGGGTTCAGAGCTGTTTCAGGCGTATTATAAATTTTTTCTCGTGATTTTTTATAGACGCAAGACGCAGATTACGAAAATCATTTGACAACGATGTTCTTGCAATTAATATTTTCTGTCTTCCTACCAGTTCTGCATAGATGCAAAATAATTTTTGCCGTTTTTCTACAGCTTTTGTTTCAGAAATGTACTTTTGATTGGTATATCCTTTTAAGAATATATGTGGACCAGATATTTCTAGCTTTTTCACTGTCGTTGGTTTTCCCTACTACGCATTTGCTTTATGTTTTCCTTATCATTCTGTTTTGATTTACAAGCAGTCTCATCAAGATTCATCATAACCCTTGAACAGAGATGCTAAAATATTTCAGTTCAAGAAGTCAGGTCATAGTATTTTAATTCATCAATTTAACACTAAAAACCGGTATCCTATCTATAAGCTACCCTCAAAATGGTGTCGAAAGTATCAATTCCTTGAACCTTTGTTTTCGGGATGGATATCTGATTCGTTGACCAAAAACCAGTTCTTTGCAGAACTCCTACGAGGGACAAAGTTTCAAACGAAACACTTTCAGTTCAGTTTTAAAACGTCACGCATAGCTAGAGGCGGGACACTGATTTCAACGAAACATGTTTTTCGACTAGAAACCCTCGAATGGTACGAGTCGGACAAGCTCGTTTCTCAGAAAAGTTTCTTCTAACTTTATGTGTCATTAGATGGGAGAAGTCTCTTAGATTCAGAATATGCTTTCCATCTATCTGTAGTTTAAAACGAAGTACTTGAAAACGATGAAGGAGATTAAAATTGATTAAAAACGATGAATAAACAAGTTTTATAAAAGAGAAATTTCATCAAAAAAACACTTGAAACCTTACCACATAGCAAAGAGGCTTTCTAGGTTCGCACGATAGAGCATGTAGTGCGTTCATTTGAACATGATTGATTGTGATCAAAATTTACCCAATTGGACAAATTCGTTTCGGTGTAGAGAAAAATTCAATTTTAACATTCTGATCACATTAAATGATTTGCTGATTAGGATAAAATCATAAACAAACTGTCTATAGATAATTATATAATAGATATTCCACATATGAAAAATATTCCTTACATTTTCGTACTTAAGCAGACTGGAAATCAGTAATTATATAACAGTACTTAAATGATAAAAAGAAATAGCTGACCGAACGAAGAGTGGGTTCGGGATAAGTTTTATCTTCTTTCGACAGATGTGGAGAGGAATATACGTTATTCATGAATTTCGAAAACCTGTAGGAAATCCTAAATGAGGGGCGAGTGAATACGAGCAATAATTTTGGTTTCTAAAAGCTGTAAGATTTTTCATTTCAACATCAAAATCCTACGCAGACTTTTCTCATTCCTTGTGATTCAAAATTTCATCCACAAAAATTTCGTAAATACCCCATAAATAAAGATTCTAATGTTGCATCTTTTACAGCTTTCTGAAACCGGTTCTTTTTTTCACTATTTATCCTCAGTTTGAATTTGACAGAAGTTCTAAGATTCGTAAACGATTTATCTGCACTGCATTTCTCTTGAAGTAGTAAGAAGACTTATTCCGAATTCCACCTCTCTTCATTTGACTAAGCACTGAAATCTCGGACCACAAAAAATAAATAAATAAATAAATAAAAATAAAAAAATAAAAAAAATTTCGTAACTTTAGCAATTTTTTTTAATTTATTAAAATTCCAAAACATGAATATTTACATCATTTAAAATATTTTTGTAATTGGATGTGCATAGAATGTTTCCAAAGTTCTAGGAATTAAGTTATATCTTTAGTTCGTCAATTTTAATCAAAATTGTAGTTTTTCAACATTTAAGTGACTACACTAATTCCAACGATAAACTAATTTTTTAAACCGTTCTCTATAACACGGAGTTAACATTATTGCCATTCGATCTAGCTTCTTACCTTCTAAACAAGTTTGCCACATCCACCAAAGAATCTCCGCAACAGTAGTTTCCACCTTGAAAAACCCTGAAGGTTATTTTTGTAACCACAGAAAATCATTTAACCATGCTAACAAAAAAATTTAAAAAGCATTTTTTCCCTGGCAACAAATTGGTAGCAAGTTACGAGTGGTTTAGAGACTCATTTTAAAATCTCCCGAAAGTCTCCTAACAGAAGAAGAAAATTTCATGGACTTCATGGCAAGTGACGAAATCAAAAGACAAATTAAGTAATAAATTACTCTTTGAATCTTGGACACGGGTGGATAATGAGTTTTCTGCACTGGAAACAGGAGTATTTCGTGTATTATTACCATTTTTAACACCCTACCTTTGCGAAACCGGATTCTCTGCGGTGACTGTTTTGAAGACAAAATATAGATCTCAGCTAAATATAGAAAAATAATTATAATATATATTTCTAATATTAAACCTTCCTTCGAAAAACCTTGCTCTGTAAAACAGGCCCGAGAGAGCCACTAACAGTTATCAAATTGGTTTTCTAATTTCGTACTGATAAGTTACTTATTAAAAAACATTATGCACTATTGATACAATCCTATTTATAAATGTATTATATTAGTGTAAATGTGTATTTTAATTTTTATTATGTCAGAATGTATTTCGTTTCTTTCCTTACAATGAATTAATCAGTTTGTTTAAGAATTTTTTTCAATATGCTCGCCTACCCCATTAAATACAGGGGCTCGCGCCTGTATTTATTAATTGGAGATCGCTGGATTAGTTTGATTTACCGCGTTGACTAGTTTTATTCTTAGACAAATAAAGGTGCTTAAATCCCCTAAAAAGCACTTAAGCGTTAAATAAATTTAAAAAGAAATCAAAAGAATATCGTTTAGCATTTTAGTTGCTTTGGTTTAATTAGCATGATTACGGCAAAGCATACAAGCCCTATCTGCCTAATAGGAGCGATGCTTTCAAGTAGGATTTTCAAAGGAAAACTGGCTCGTATTCAGATTACATACAGGAAAACCACGAAAAAAGGCTTCGAGAAACTGATGTGAAATGCTGAATTTTAATCCAAAATATGAATGAAGATAAGATTCAAGGAATCGACTTCGTACGAAAGGTCAAAAATTGCTTTCAAGATTTTACTCTAACAAAAAGAGAGGTCAGTCTAATTGAAACTATTAAATAAACATAATTTAAATTAAAAAAATTAGAGTAAATGATACTAAGGAAATACATTTGTGTGTTGATAACTTTAATTAAGGAAAAAGATATTCTTAGAACTGAATTCGAAAATTTTTAAATTAGCACAAGCGCGTGAGGAAAAATCAAATGGCACTACTAATAATTATTTTCTAATTTTACTACGAAATATTTAGCTAATTTATGATGGTAACACGGCAAGCTCTTCGTGTAGCACTATTATTCCTGATATTTTGCTCTTCTGGATTTTAATTTGTTTTTTGTTTGTTTCAGTATAACTTAACTGGAAAGAAACTGAATAGTTTGGTGAAGAAACTCATCAATAAGAAGCCTGTTCTGAACAAAGAAATCGTTATCAATCCTTTATCTCTAAAATTTTTCGAAACAATAGATCTTGGAGATTTCTAAGAGATTGTCTGAAAAAGAACGAGCAAAAATGATATAAATTATTATCACATTTTATACTTTGATGTATTTCTGAATCTTTTTCATAAACTTTTCTGTTATGTAAAATTGTCTGTATACGTTTTCTTAAGCTAATAAATGCATTTATGAAAGTTGTAAATTTATAATTAAATAAAATCCGATATCCTAACACCTTCGATATCTCGAAATTGCTAGAGAATATATATATTTACATTTACACGGGAACTAGAAGAATTAGAGTTATACTTGGACCGAACCAAAACGTCGCCAACTCGCTTCACGTATACCAAGAGCTTTGGTCACAATTTCAAATAGTGAAAGAATTTAAATCTTATAGTGGCGTCCGAACAAATAGCGGGCCATGTCTCAAAGCAGTTCAAGATTTATTCTGCCCCCCCCATCAAGGTTACAAGCTCCACCCGCGCCAGTTAGTCCCATCGAAGGATTTGACTTCATCGTGGACACCATGCGGGTATCAAAGAAACCTGCAGAGATGTTTAATGGAAGAAGTTCGGTAAACATATTTTTGAGCATTTAGATTAGCATTTTGTACTTTATCCGCTACCGGTAGTTTGCAAGGTTTCGACTGTAACCGGCGCATTGTGAAAACAGGCACTGAAATGATACAAATGCATCGGCAAATTTTTGGGGGTGAACTAGATAGTGAGACCTACAAGAGATGTTTAAAAATGTCCTCGTAAAAGCATTCCCCATAACAAAAGATAGGGACAAGTTAGAAGCATAACTTTTTAATAAATACCAGTTAAGTGTCGAAGAACTCACAAAGTTTATATTGAGAAAAATTAAAATTTTTAATTTGCTACATAGAAAGGCCTGATGCAGAGGTGATTTAAGTTATTTTCCCTAAATTGCTTCCGCAGATTCAAAATATCTTTGAGTTGAGAAATCCGAGCACGCTCGAGAGTTTGTTTGAGCTCGTAGCAAAGTTCGAAAGCAGGAGCGTTGCTGAGAGTAAGCGTAGAGCAGGCTATGGGCAGAGGCTTTTATTGTTCTTCACCACAAGGAAGGCCATGATTTGATGGAAATAAACATTTTGGAAATAGACAAAAATTTTCAACCGTGAGTGGCAATCGCCAAGATAAAACGTAAAAGAGGAAACAGTCAAGCAAGCAATTTTTAAACTGATCAGGGGTACTGAAGACAAGATGGTTAAGTTGCCCCTGAGGCAAAAAAAAAAAAAATCCGTATAGGATTCAGTTAAATACAGTAGTAATAAAAAAATTGGCTTTATATGTAAAATCTTTTTAAATAATGTTCCATTGGATGAATTTTTAATTTTTTAATTTTAACACTGCAATTGATAACCACTGGCGTAGCATGTAGCTCTTCAGTATGTAGAGATCCTAGCAAATGCTACCTGCTGCACCCCAAGGGTGAGTCAACAGATCAAACGGGATTTATTTCAAAATAAATAACAAAAACAAAAAATATACGATACATATAGAATTATAATACAAAAGGGGAATCCAAAAGCTTGATACGAGAATGCAATGATATGTAATACAAAGCTTAAAAGAAGATACATACGGTCAAGAATCAAGCGTAGCTCTAATAGATACAAAGAAGGCTTAATAAAAACTCATAGGTAATCATAATATACAGGATATGGAAAAAAACACAGTAGAGAATACAAGATTTTCACAAAAAAGTACTCAGTCATGTAACGGCAATACATAATTTACAGAGTTATTGTAAAGTCAATACTTATTTCTAATAAAGAATAGTTCAGAACGTAAAAAAAACCGAGCAAAGTTTTACTGCCATTTAACACATTAATTAGGGTGTACTATTCAGTCATTATGCTACATTTCCATGTATGCACCAGCATTTTCCACACACTGCTTGAATCTTTTAGGAAGACACTTCATGGCTTTTCGTAGTATCCAAACTGGGACATATGCAAACACCTCGCGGATATTGTGTTGAATATTGTTAAGATAAATTGGTTTTAACCCATTCACTTCTTCCTTAGCCCATCCCCAAAGAAGTCGCAGGGGGTTAGATCAGGACTGCTTGCAGGCCATTCTGTCGGTCCACAGCGGACAACCAACTGCGGGGGAAATTATCATCAAGCCATACTCTCATTGGAATTGCGAAACGGAACAAAGCTTCATCTTGCATAAACAGCAATTCCTGTCCATTTTCTTATTCATGAATGACAGGCTGTACGTACGTTCGAAGCATCTCCAAGTGTCGTTCACCATTGATGGTGTCGCGTAGCACACGAACCAATGAATCTGGTAGGTGTCATTCCACGCCAGACTGTTACCTTTAGTCGTGATTGTATTTTTTCTACCGTTACATTTGAATCGAACTCTGGCCAATAATGACAATTCATAAAACCTTCCGCATGAAACACCGCTTCATCGTAACAAAGGATATTGTCGCACAAATCGAGATAATCAGCTGCCCAACCAAGCATAATCTCCCAAAACTCCATTCACCTGTCGCAGTCCTAATCAAACAATTCATGAACGTAATGTGGCTTTCAATGTCGAAAATGTAACTTTGTCGAAAATACGAAAATACTGTAAATCATTAAAGTGGTCATCACTTTGTGACGTGATAATCTCGATTCTCTAGCAGCTTGTTGTGTGGACTTTGAAGGGCTACGTTCAAATATGTGTTAACAACATTCACATCGTCTTCACGTCGTCAACACACAGTGTTCCAAGCGGAGGGTCTTCCAGATCGACTTACATCTTTCACACTGCCGATTGTCGTTAACTTTGTAAGGATCTTAAGTTTTACTAACGTTTATTTTATTTTAAATCTTTACTATCACTTCTTATTTTCTACTTCCGGCCAGAATTATAAGCGTGAAGGAGTTTATGCAAAGTTGTCTGGCGAACGCCAAGTATTTAAGTGCGGCCTTTTTGCCAAGCAGAAGAGAGGAAGCCGTGAGTTCGAAGCAGGCCGCTTACCTTAGAAGTTACGCAGTTGCTACTTTGCCTTCCAGGCCAGAGGTTTTAATCCTCTTGATAATTGAACGTATTGTAGTGTTCACAGTCTCTGTGCTACATACGCTTCCTGTTATTATAAGGCCAATCTTATTCTAAAGTTAAATTAGAGTTTGGTTTATTTTGATATCTTTTAAGTTAGACCCGAGTGGAGGGTCATTGTATTCCGAAGTACGGAAGTCATTGTATATAAAGAAAAAAATAAAGGGTTTTGTATACCCTTCGTCTGTATCCTGTCTACTTACTACAATTAGTGAACATAGCTATAGTAAGCTCTCTGTTCTAGTCAGGTCATTGTATGTTTCCGAAGAAGGTTAGAAGAAACATTGAACCTGATAGTGGCGCCCGACGAAGAATAACCCATGGCCGAGTTTCAAGAAGAACCTGTGCTGCCTGCAGAAACAGCTCAGAATCCAGAAATGCCAGCTGCCGCCCTGGAAGGATTTGGGTACATGTCCAGACCATGCGCGCTTCGATGAAACCAGAAGCAACGTTAATGGAAACTCACAGGTAACCAGTTGTTTGGAAAAATTGGATGACCTTCATGCTCTAAACCCCGTGCACGAGTTTCAAAAAGTTACCGTACCAGCGCTTTGAGGGGCCAAGCGCTTAACTGGTTCAAATGTATCGGCAGAAGTCTCTTGGGTCAAGCAGGAAGTCCCACCTATACTACGAAAATTTCAAGACTGCCCTACTAAAAGCCTTCCCTGTTGTAAGGGATCGTGCGAAATTAGAAACAGAACTTTCAGATATATCAACAAAGATGGAAAACCTCTCGAGTTTTTATTTTAAGAAAATTCACGTTTTCTTCAAGCTCTGTATGGAAACCGTCCGGATCCTGAAATAATTCAAGTGATTTTGCCGAGGTTACTACCCCAAGTCAAAGACTTTATTGAATTGAGAAATCCGACTACAACTGGAAAATTATTTGGAGCTAGCATCCAGTTTGAAAGTAGAAGAACGGCGCGGACTCGAAAGAAACCCAATATCACAGCGAAACCAATTTGGTACGCCAACTACAGCAAACTCAAGCACATGGCTACGTAAGAAAAGCGAATCAGTGGCAAGGAAACCCGAGCATTCAAAAACAGCCGGCGACTCGACATTCAATAGCAACCAGGAAAAAGTCTCAAGGCCAGTGGAAAAGAGGAAAGCACCGAAGGAAAAGTTTAAACTAAAACGGATTTTCTGACGAGAAGGTGCGGAAATCCGAAGGCACGAAAACCCCTCTTCCTTCAGTTAAATACATAATGGTGAAAAATTGACTCTTCCGAAGATTGAAGTGTTGGTAAATATATCCCGGCCACCGCACTCTGGGTACCGGCACGCAGTGTTCCTGTGTGGAGAATCTTTTAGAAAGTATTTTCGCAAATACCGCATATATAATGCGGATATACACATATTAGCGGCGCAAGGAACAATGTAGTGCGTAGTAAATTACCTTTGTACATCCTATCAAGGACGAACAAGTAAAGGTGATGTTTTATAGTAAAGAATTTGCAAGCACACTTATCTAGGAATAGACTTTCTTAGAGCACAACTACACTGGATTTTATGAAGCGTCTCTTAAGCTGACGATTGAAACCAGGCGGAGAAAAGTTTGAACCACCATGTTATCTTGACACCTGCTAATGACGAGCAAGAAGAATCCGACAATCCAAGTGGTAAGTGAATTGCTTCTTATTTATGATATCCAGGATTTTACCCAGGTTAAACCATAATTGAACGGGATGCATTGCCGGCGTCACAACATACCGGTATTAAAATAAGGAAAAATTAAGAATGGCATATTACCATCGCTACGTAAAAAGATCGTAACGCCTATCTCAATAGTTATGCAGCCGGTGGTTTTATGTAAAAAATTGTTATCCTTGAGCATCCAAAAAGGTGGTTCGCTATTGATTACCGTAAATTAAATTCCATAACGAAATATCCGGTATATCCGTTACCGTTATAGAGAAATTTTAAGGAACATAAAATCAAACCAAATTTATGTACTTTACTTACGAATGGTTATTCAATAGGATCAGGCTGAGGACGTGCCTAAGACTGCTTTTTAATAACCAAGTCTGCACTTTTGCGAATGCCGTTTGGCCTTCAGGCGCCCCAGCAACATTTCGGATGCCGGACATTGTGTTAGGCCTGTTCTCGGAAAGTC